TTATTATTATTATTATTATTATTATTATTATTATTATTATTATTATTATTATTATTATTATTATTATTATTATTATTATTATTATTATTATTATTAAATCCCATGATATTTGTTGGTATCAATTATCAATGCGTTATGTATAGATGCATACCACTAGCTATCGAGTTAGCGTTGTTGTTTAGTGTTGCAATCATTGGCATTATGGTTATTATTAGCAATTGACACTGATGGTAATCTGTTGTTTGATAGCTTGCTACACCAGACATGATTCAATACTGAAATCACTTAAATATAATAACTACAATAACAACAATAACGACAACAACTACAATAATTACGATAATTACGATAAATCCAAAAAATACAGTGAATACAATGAATACAGAAAATACAATAAATACAGTGAATACAGTAGACACAGTAGACACAGAGGATATAATGGAAGCAGAAGTTGGTGGATATTAAATCATCAAGCAGGAATGTTGGTTGTTTGTTGCAACAATCTTGCCAAATTATGTAATAGACTCCAAAAACCCAATCCCTTATTCCAGAACCAACTCAGCATGCTACTCAAAACACATTTATCTACTTGAAAAGTGGTCTTCTTTACGACCTACTGAATAGCACACAGCGATACTGTAATAGTGATACTGTAATAGTGAGATGTAATTGGCGGCTCTGGTCGACGATCACTTTTGACGTATTCAGCTCTGTTATTTGAAATAATCACTCCCAGTACATATCAGCCAGCTTTGACAATTAACATTTGCCAACACCAACCAATACCAATCAGCACTGTAGCCATTATTGGCACTGTTCGCATCATACAGACGCAGTTACAACCCCCTATGCCCGATGGGTCTTCTAGAGAAATGAAAGCAAGTTGGATGAAATAGATTAGATTAGAGTAGAATAGAGTAGAGTAGAATTGAATAGAATAAAATAGAAAGAAATGAAATGAAATTGGCAAACACAGAGACTTGACTACAGAGACCCCAGCACAGGGACCAAGCACAGGGACCAAGCACAGGCGATAGAATCGACACAATAAGCAAGTTAGTGGAACAAAAGGGCTTAAACTGGTGCTGAAATGCAACAATGCGAGCCACTGACAATATCAAACAGTGTCAAGAAGTATCAAAGAGCACCATAGAGCGCTATTGAGTATAAACTATTGAGTATTGAGTATTGAGTATCAAAGAATATCAACAAAACAAAGAAGCAAATAGCCAGTTCTAATTCCAACAGCAGGTTTGCAGACAAGATACAAAGATGCAATAACCAAGGTCAAAGCAAAGCTGAACAGTACCTGATTGATATTTGTGTCTGATTGGGATTTGTTTCTGATCGAGATTTGTTTCTGATCGATCAAGATTCGTGCTGTTTAACAATTGCATGCAAACCCATTTACAACTGGATAGATTCGCATATAAGAGATGAGAATCCTGCTCAATTGCCCAACAATATTTCACAACCATTCTATTCCACCATCCATTGTTCATTGTGTTGTTTGCTGTCTGCTACTCACTATCCAGTTCTAACCACTGCCAACAAAACCACACAACCTGAATCTATCACTGCTACACTTGTCTCGTCGAGTTTGGAACCAAAGGTGCTGCTGACAATCACATACAATCATGCGTTTTTCGAGAGTTGCTGCTGTTGCTTCGTCAGCCCTTCTTGCTGTCTCTGTTTACGGGAGCCCATTGGACTTGGTCAAGAGGGATGCCATGGCCAATGCTGATGCCAATGCTGATGCCAATGCTGATGCCGAAGCATGTCTCCTTGGTCTTTGCAATGTCGTTGGGGGTGTCACCAACACTGTTGGCAATCTTGTTGACGGAGTTCTTGGTGTGGTTGACAACTTGGTGTACACTTTATTTGGATGTGGTGGTAACTTTGTGAGTTGTTCCACCGGAACCTGTCCAGTGCAACTCAGCTCCATCTTGAGCATTTTGAAATTGAATCTTGACTTCAAAGCCATCTTGGGCTACAGTCCTCCAGCTGGATACATACCTGCCACAGGCCTTATCAGAGACTGCTGGGGATACGTCTACAACCAAAACACGTTCAACATCATCAAGGCCACGCCAGTATTCGGATTCACCATCACCAACAACATCAAAGTTCCTATTGCTACTACCCGCTACAAAAGTGGCACCAAGACCATCACTGAATATGTTCCATGCACACAGTGTGCCCAAGCTACTCACACCACATTAGCTCTTGATTATGCCGGTGAGTTCTGGGGCGAAGGATGCAGCCAGGTGGGCGACAAGTTGGCTGAAGTTGTCAGCAAGCCAGTGAAAAACATCCAGAAATGGGGTGTTGTGTTTGACCAGGACAACAAGCAAATTCCAATCTACGGGTTCACCAAGATCGGCAAGAGACCTGTTCCATTAGTCACCAAGATTGTGAACAGATCCACCTACACAGTTCCATGCACACCATGTCTTCGTGCCACCTCGACCTCGTTGTCGTCGCAGTACACGTCGTACACCACCACCGGGGCCACATATGCTCCATGCGTTGAAATTCCTACTCCTCACTGTTCTGCTATCAATTAAACAGGGTCGAGTGAGGTCTCGGACGAACATGTTTGGTTGGCCAGCTTCGATTGAAATCAGTCGCTGATGAGTCGCTGATTTGAGTTCAATGGACTTTGGTTTGTTTGATTTATATTATTTTGAAGTAATTATTGTTATTTTTATATCACATTTATCTTTTTATTTTTCTTTTAATTTTATTATCTTTATGCTGATGCAATTTTATCTTGATTTATCTTATTTAAATTTGATTTTTATTTCTCTGCAATTTTGTTGTCTGTAAGAATCTGCATAGCTACAGTTAAGCATGTTATGTTTTGCAAACTTCTGCAATGCATCTTAAATGGTACATATGTTTTTCCCTGAGGTATGATTGGTTGGCGATATTTTATTTTTATTGTGATATTCGTATTGTTAAAGCTGTCAAACTCTTTTTTAATATCCTCTATTGCTATATCCAACAATAATTTAGTATAAAGTCTATGTAACCAAATTGCAAATGCGGGCACTTCCTTTTGAACATTGCTAAATTCGTTATACTCAAGGATACAAGAAAAATATATTTGAAGTTTACCAGCGCTTTTTATGTTGTCCAGACTATATAAGTCGTTTGAGTTCAGTTTTTCGGTTTTTTAATCTTTCTGATTTGGTATAAACCAGATAAATATTTCCAGAAATCCTCCATTTGTTAATCTCCATGGAGACCCACAATTTGATATTTTTTCAAAAAAAGCCACCAAATATTTTAGATACATTTGCCATTTTAGAAGATAAGAATTACTGGAGAATGTTATAACTTCAAAAATATCAACAATGTTATTATTGTCATCAATGTAGATATAATTACTATCCTGATTTTGAATCTTATTTTCAACAATTGTGTCTAGGGTTTTTGGTTTTTTAAGAAATTTTTCTTTGCCAATCAACTTTGCTTCTAGCTTAAATAATTTTGTGTTGAAACATTTTAATAAAACATGCTCATTTAAATTTTTTTTATTTCCGAATATCTTCAGTATGTTTTCTGACATATCAATTTCTTCACTTATAAAAGTGTCACTATATACGGTGTATTTATCATTTAAATTACTATTTTTGTCGTATTCGATCATTTTAGAATGAATCAACATATCTTTGGGCAAGATATCATGAGGTTGATTATTGTATTTAGCATTGATTTGATACAAGTATCATGATAATGGAACACCTACTAATGGAGCTGAGCCCTTTACTAGTGATCCAAATTCGAGCATTCTTTTGACAATTTTTATCGATATACCTACCTGATGAAGAAAGTGTTTTCTTTAATTATTTTATTGAATATTGGTGCATTTTTAGAATAACATAAAGGCACTGAATAACACATATGTTCTAGATGAATAACCTGTTTCAAATTACGATTTAAACATTGCAATATTTCGATCATACTCGTTGATGATTACCTACCTATAAAAATATAATAGAAATGAGCAAAGATGAAGAAGACAACTAAATATAACTAATTATATATATCAGTGTTGTTTTTGTTTTATTGTCTAAGCGGAGAGATAAAGCACAAATTCAATTAAACTAATAATACAATAAACAAATTTATTTAGAAGACAATTAAGAGATAAGATTTATTTTTAAAATTTAAATATTCAATTAATTAAATTTATACAAAAAAAAATATAGATGAAAATTAAACCTTAAAATTCAAAAACAAATTCATTATTTGATTAAACTTAATTTTGATTTTATTTAGTTTCTTCTTTTGAAACGGTGAACTCTTTGAGAAGAAATAGAGATAACATTGATTGGTAGTTTAAGACCTAAGGACTTAACTAATTCATTAGTTTCGTTATCCAAGTCCAAAGCACCGTTGGTTCTGGAGAGATCCAAAGCAGAAACATCTGGAACATATTGATCTTTTCTTTCTCTTTCTTCTTCTTGCAATTTAAATGAAATACCTCTAACTGGACCCTTTTGAATTCTTTTCATTAAATGGGTGGCATAACCAGCAATTTTGTTTCTAAGACGTTTGGATGGAATAACAGCAATCTCATCACATAAACGTTTGTTGGTTTCAAAATCTAAAGTTAATTTTGGATAATAACGTTCAATTAAAGCTTTTGAAGCTCTTTTGACAGTTTTTGTTCTAACTCTACCCTATTGAAATAAAAAAATAAAGAAAATAAGTTAGTTATTGTTATTGGTCGTTTGTTGTTAATTTTAGCAGAGAACATAAATAGATAGTAATGAACAGGCAAGAAATAAACAATTGAAAATATCTCAACTAAAACAGAATAGAACAGAATAGAACATAATAAAATAAAATGAAATAACAAGCTTTCAAGAAAATTAAATCTTTTACTTTTTATTTAACTTTAATTTCATTTTAGCCGCTGAAAAACATTTTCAAGTAAATATTGATTGATTGTAATGTAATATTTAAAAAAAAAATAAAATGATAAAATATTTATTGCTGCTTTAATAGCTAAAATTTAAAATAATAAAACAGAAGTTGTTGAATGTTTTTTTGTTCTCTTTTGTGTCTTTGATTATTCAAGGTAATTGTAAAATAGTCTAATGAAGATACTGATATATTGTTTGAAAACTTATGAAAGGAATTTACGAATTGTCCAATGACAATATTCCAGATGTTTCGTTTGGTCATTTTTATAAATAAAGTAGCTACTGATTGTTTTAATGCAATTGTATGATAATGACAGCCGATTCATTTGTTCTACAGCTGATTTCAGTTCTGATTTGTTTTTGAAAATATTTCACCCACTCTGTATATTACCTTGAATAATCAACAGAATCTTTAATTTAAAAATTGTCCAGTGAAATTCAGCAATTGAATCTCCAAATAATTTAAACATATTTATAAAGCCTTTTTTTGAGAGGTGTGATGGTGAACATTTATAAGAATTTCATTTTCATATTCGCTGATTATCTAAATTTCCTATTATTTCTTTCTGCTCGGATTTGGAGATCATAGTGCTCGAGGTATTTGCTTTCTTGTAATGCTATCCATAGCTAGATATTGTGGATTGACAACATACCATTTTTGTATATTATTGATATCCAGATGAAAATAATGTGTAACTGACTATTTGGTGATTCCTGAAAAGAGTTCAATGTTATCCTTTGGTGTCTGTTAAAGCTCTGATCCTGCGATATATTCTTCACCCTAAAAACGCAAGACTCCACTTCAGTTCTGACAAAGCACAGCACGTGGAAAGAACGCACTTTTCAAAAATTCAGTTTCGCCTGCGTTGTGAGCTATGAGCACACAGTCTCTATTAGTATGTATCACGTGAATATAAATAGGCTTGTTATATTTAAAGCCCTGATATAAACCCCTATAGTAGACCCTCAATTGTAAACCCCTATGGTGATATTACTGCAGACCCTTGTGCGTGACCAGCCTTCAGGCGTGACTCACGCTTGACCAAGCACTGTCGTTTCGCTCGAAGTGCGTTACACTTAAAGTGCGTTTTGCCCATACCCCCGACTTATCACAACAGAGATAAGGAGCGATGGATCTTCTCTTTATCTTCTATTTCCATCTCTATCTCTATCTCTCTACTCTGTCTTTCGTTGAAACAGAGATAGATCCACTCATAGATACAACTATAGATATAGCTATCGAAAGCACTTCCAACACAAAATATAACATACCTGCTGCTCTCAACTCACTTTCGTTCTCTACTTTTCTCACACTTCACTGTTTCCCTCAAATCGTTTGGAGATGGCAAAACTCACTTCTAATTCACTTACGTTGATTTTTTTGGTTGCAGGCGTCTTAACAACTGGCTGTTTGAACTCCATATTTACAAAATATCAGGATAACCAATGTGTCGACAACTGTGAAGATCCAAATCCATCTAATCAAAAGAAATTCGAACAACCTGTTTTACAGACTTTGCAAATGTTTATTGGTGAGTCAACTTGCTGGCTAATTGTCTTAGCCAATTATTTGATCAACGATTATCAAAAGAAAAACTATAAGCCTTTATTGACAGACGATAATGATATTAATGACAGTAATGACCTCGATCAAATCAAATTAAAAAAAAAAATGTCCTTCAAGGACTCCTTGATCCTATGTTTCCCCACCATTTGCGATATCTTAGGTACAACTCTTATGAACTTGGGTTTATTATACACTCCAGTTTCTATTTACCAAATGACAAGAGGTGCTTTAGTTATCTTTGTTGCTTTATTTTCAATTTTCTTTTTGAAAAAACACATCACTAGAGTTGAGTGGTTATCCTTATTTCTAGTCTTTTTAGGTGTGGGAATTGTCGGTCTTAGTGGCAGCAAAAGCCATAATCAAGAACAAAATTCCATACCAAATCAGCTTGCAAATGAAATAAACAATCAAATCAATAAATCTGTCAACTGGAAAGTCTTTGTCGGTATTGGCTTAATCCTATTAGCTCAAATTTTCACTGCCTCTCAATTTGTCTTGGAAGAGCACATCTTATCAAAATTACAAATAACTCCTGCAAAAGTCGTTGGTTATGAAGGTTCTTATGGCACGATTATAACTTTCATCTCAATGATTTTTTTGCATCTTTTCATTGGCACTGGTCCATTCAACTTAGTTGAGGCCTTTTCTCAAATGTTTAATAACTCGAATATCCTATTATCCTCGATCGCTATCATGATATCCATCTCGTGTTTCAATTTTTTTGGAATCTCAATAACAAACAAGTTAAGTGCAACCTCAAGATCAACTATCGATACCTGCAGAACTCTACTAGTTTGGTTCGTATCAATGTATCTAGGCTGGGAATATTTCAAATTCTTACAATTAATAGGGTTTTCCTTTTTGGTATTTGGCACTTTAGTATTTAACAAAGTGATCTTTATTGATGATTATTTGCCATTGTTCTTCAAGAAGGGCTTATCATTACATGATGAAAGATCCTATAATCAACCTTTCCTCAATGAAGTAGTTGATGAACCAATTGAAAGAATGTGAAAATATAAATATAAATATAAATATAAATATAAAAAATAAAAAATAAACAGCAAAAAAGCCTCAAGAGCTCTCATTTATTATCTTCCAATAGACTGTTTAATTTTAAGTTATAATAAATCAAATCATTCAAAATTATATATAATTCATCTAAACTCTTCTTAATTGATAAATAAAAAAATTTGGACTTTATTTCTTCTAAATTACTTTCTTTTTTATAAATCAATATAAACTTGATTTTCAAAACCTCATAAATTATTAAATATTCTTCTTTTTTTTCATATTTTTTATTGTTATCATTCCTAAAATTTCCGCTGTTATTGTCATTGTCACTATCATTGTTATTGTCATTGTCACTATTATTGTTATTGTCATTGCTATTGGTGTTACTGTTGCTATTGCTGTTATCTTCAATATTGTCATTATTACCAATACCAATATAATCAATATCATTATCGTTTTCAATTTCATCGATTTCATCGATTTCATCGATTTCATCAAAACTTTCTTCACTCTCTTCACTTTCAGAATTAAAATCATCAATAACTTCACTTTCTAGAAATATAGTTTTCGTGGTTATTTCCTCTTTTTTTTCGTCGCATAATCCGATTAAATATTTACCCATAATAGAATTATACATATTGTTCATCAAACCACCAAAATCATTATCAGTGATTCCATCATGACTATTAATAGTGTTACCACTACTATTAATATTACTAGTATTGGTATCAACATTAATATCACCTATATCGTTTTGGAACCCTGTTTGGTTGTTTTCATGATTATTATTATTTCCTTTCAATGACCAGAAAAGTATATGTTTAGTTATATCCCTGGTAGTATTTAAAACGGTTGAAAATCCAGTCGTTATACCATTCGATATGCCATTTGTAACCACATTATTTGTCACTATATTATTAGTTATTATATTATTTGTTAATATATTATCTGATAAATTCAAATTAGCAAAATTCGGTGATAAATTTGATAAATTACTTAAATTGCCCATTGAGGGATTTCTAATATTTAAAATTTGATTTGATGTAAAATTATGAAAATTCGTCAATGCAGAAATTGCATTATCAAAAGTTTTAGCGAATGGATTAAATTCTTCATCAATCAAATTATTATTTTTTTCATTAATATTATAAAAATCATTCAAGTTTGGATAGGTAAATTTGAGTAGATCTTTGCTTTTAAACCCATTGATATCAATAATTTCTAACCAATTGTATAGTAAGATCAATGAATTAATTGAAATTCCATTCCATCCACTAAATATAAATCCATGAATGTTATTATTGCTAATGAGTGGAATATTTTTATTACGGTTAGGTTTGTCATTATTCTTATCATTACTTTCATTATTATCGTTATTATTCTGATTTATTTCACCATGCTTTGTGAGCTCTTTTGGAGTAGCAAATGAATTATAAATAAACAAATCAATCAATCCATTGGAGATATTTTTAAAATTTATTAAACGTGAGTTCAAATAAATCAATTTATCTCTATAAAGACTTATCAATGTAATAATTTTCTTATCATTTATTTTTGTGTTGTTAATATTATTAATAAAATTTAAATCATCTAGTAAATTGATCGATATTAAGTTTTTAAAACCAAAATTATCAAATACTTTATTATTAGTATAATAATTATGCTGATTATAAAATTTAAATGTGTTTAAAAATCTTAAATGGTAATGATAATTTGAATCAATTTTCCAATCAGACACAAAGGAAGACCAAAAATCACTTAAAATTTCCTTAAACTTCGTTGGAGAAACATTGTTTTTAAGTTCAGTGAAGGAACCGTAGCTCAATTTAAATATATCGTATGCCAAATATACATCAAACAGAAGGATTTTTGTGTCCGGTAAATTTTTAGTTGAATAATGAAATTTTAACGATCTATTAATATTAGACGATGAATTATTATTGGAAATAGAATTGCTAGTGTTTGTAGTATTGTCTTTCGTGACACTGACAGTTCTGCTGTTTGTATTGTTATTGCTGCGATTGTTGTAAGTGTTAATACCTTGCGCTGAACTTGACAATGTATTTAATGGCTCTAAATCGTTTGGATTATTTAATCTATTCAAATTCGACAAATTATTGATGTTTAGACTTGTCAAGTTATTGTTTAAATTTGTAATCAAATCATTATTAAGCAACAAGCCATGATTTGGGCTTTCAACTATTGTTAGTTTTTTGATACAAATGATTAACCAGTAATCTTCTTCTAAATTGAATACCAAAATCCTTGACTTGAAAGTATCAATATGAGTGATATTAGATTTGTTGGAAAAGTTCCTGGCAAATCCATTTATACCTTGAACTATGCCAATTGAATTTAGCTTTATGTTGTTGTAAGTATTATTTTCACCACCTTGAGACTCATTTTCTGAGAACTTGGGTGACTGTGGCGTTATAAAACACAATAGCTGGTCAATAAGCTCATCATCATTCTTACTAAGTGTTGGGTTGTATATCGCCAAATAGGATACATTAGCAGGAAAAAAAGTAGACATTATCGCTGGAACATATAAAAAGTAGGACAGCAACCAACTAAGACACCTAGATTAGAATAGCAACACCTGTCTGATAGATATGGTCATAACCAGCCTGGAATAAGCTATGGAAATGTTGAGAGAAGCACTTTTGTTCCAATCTGATCTATTATATCTTAGATCAGACCGCAGCTTTTGGGAAACGCTATCCGTTCCGCTGGTTCTGAAAACCGAGTCCAGCGGTGAGGAACCGTGTATCAGCGGCAAAAATATGTGCCACTTGCGTCACTTGCGTCATCCTTTCGTTTTGGTGCTTTTGATGCTTTTGCTTCTTCGGCGTACGTTTATTGCCAACTTTCCTACTCATTTGTAGTGTTTTCTGCTTTGGGGTCTATGAACAGTAGATCCGATTAAAATTGATTCTTATGATCACAAGGATTGGTATGGTACGTTTTTTCAAATCCAGGGTCGCTCAATTATTAGCATCCTCTTTTCGAAGTCAACATTAGCACTCTTTCTATATTTTGTTGTTATTTGAGAAGAATAATAACAATAATAACAATTCGAATATTACATAATTGTTCAAAATAAAACTCTGATTTCTAAAAGTCATAACTTGAATTAAGGCAATTACAGTTTTCACTCAAACAAACCCAGAAATCACCAGGCATGTTCACGCATCACTATGCAAGCAGCTTTGAACTTATTAATTTCTCAGCAACTTTTCTCAATTTTTATATCGGGATAAATTGACAGATACATTGATATACAAATTTCTGAATAGAACATCGAGATTTTTGATTCTTCTTCAAGTTAGGCTTTCAGTATTTTCTCATTTTTCAGCTCTACAGCATTTAGAGTGAACGTTTTCAGTTTCCAAACACAGGATGGACGTACAAACTGATATTACTGACATTAACCGTTACAATCACAATATATTCAATGGGTTACCACCTCATATCCTTCGGTGCATACTTTTCAAGTTACCGATTGACAAAACATTACTATTTGTTTTTTCATCAAATCCACTAGTCAACTTAGCTGCTTATTATCTATTGTTCAAAAAAGTCGAGATTCGAGAAACAAAACTTGCAAAACCAGTCAAGTCAAAATTGAGAAAGCATGTAATTTTTAATTCAGATGGGCTCTTCTTGTTTGAAAAGATATTGCGTCTTTTCACCACGCATTTAGTTATCAGAGTTGCTCTTCCGATTGATGATATGAAAAAAAAAAATGGTTCAGATTTAATGTCCTTTACAGCTCTTAAATCAGTGCTCCTTATCATAGATTATATCGATACACTGTATGAAAATTCTATTTTTTTCACTGATGAGATATCTTTTGAACATTCTGAAATTAGAAATATTATTTCATATTATAATCTTGATTCAATTTATGATTTTGATGTATGGAAATGTCAAAAAATCCGTAATGAGCGACCTATCTTAAAGGATTTGCCTAATACTTACTACAATTGCAAATCGTTCTATTTTACTCGATATCACGACAAGGATGATGATGAAGACAGGCCGAAATCAATAATTACAATATTCAAAGAAATGGATATGATAACAAATTGTTGCAGAATAAATCTCTTGGATTTGAAATATTTAAAGATATCTTATTTACAGCTCCGTGGAATTAAAAACTTATCAATATTACGAAGTTTGGAGACAATTGATTTTTCAAATAATCATATTTCAAACTTTGATAGCTTTTCTGAAGTAACTAGTTTAGTCAACTTAGATTTATCATATAATCGTATTCAAAGCGTAGAAAATGCTGAGGAATCATATAATTTGAGAACCTTAAATTTAACAGCTAATAGTGTCTATAGTATGGAAGGATTGGACAGAATGTTTAGCTTAGAACATTTGAATTTAACGATCAACCAGTTGAAACAAATTACAAGTGTGAACCAACTTTTTTGTTTAAAGCAATTATATTTATCATTTAATTCAATCTCAAAAATCGAGAATTTGAATGGGTTGGATAATTTAGAGGATCTAAATTTATCGTTTAATAATATATATCAAATTGAAAATTTAAGTGAGTTGAAGAATTTAAAAAAACTTTCCTTATCATGTAACAAGATTTCTAAAATTGAAAATTTACATCAATTGACTGTATTAGAGGAATTAGATTTATCATCTAATAAGATTACAGAAATAGGAGATTTGGTTGAGTGTTGCAAGTTGAAAATTATAAACTTGAAATATAACAAGATTATAAATATTGAAAGATTTTCTCGAATAAGTAACTTATTAGCTTTAAATTTATCTAAAAATGAGATTTGTGAAGTTGAAATTAATACTGGATTCAATAAATTGATAAATTTGAGTTTATCAGAAAATCAAATTAAAGATTTTAAAATTATGAAGTCAAAAGCTTCAAACAGTTTACAAAGTTTAACAAATTTAAACAAATTAAGTTTATCATCAAATCAAATTCAAAATTTTCAAATTTCAAAGAAATTAAATAACTTGGAATACCTATATTTATCGAAAAACAATCTTAGAAATTTGAGAATTATTGAAAACATAAACTTATTAACGAATTTAAGAGTGTTATGTTTAGCATCAAACAAGATCAAAGACATTAATGCATTGGAAATTTTCAGTGGACTATCAAACTTGCAGAGTTTATACTTGAATAGTAATAAAATTAGAAATTTAAAGATCTTAAAAGGCTTTCAAAATTTAAAAGACTTGATCACATCATATAATGAGATTTCTAGAGTACAGTTAGGTGGGTTGAATAGACTAGAAAATCTAAATTTGTTTTATAATAAAATTGAAAGTTTCCAGGTGCTTTGTGGATTAAAAAAATTAAAAAGCTTAACATTGAATTATAACAAAATGTCCAAGATCTCAAATCTAAATGGATTGGTCAACATGCAAAGTTTGGACTTGTCAAATAATGAGATTTCTAAAATTGAGAACCTATCCAATTTACAAAATCTAGAGCATTTGAATCTCTCTTTCAATAAAATTTCCAAGATTGAAAACTTAAGCAATTTAAAGATGTTGATAGACTTGAACTTGTGGAATAACAAAATTGGCAAGATCGAAAATATAGACCAATTAAGCAGATTATCCACCATCTGCCTAAACCACAACCGAATCAGCAAAATCGAAAACATAGGACAATTAACAGGGCTAGAAAATCTCTTTTTGGCACACAACACCATTAAAGAATTGGAGCACTTCAAGGGAATATCCCATCTCAAACAGCTCGATGTGTCGTTCAACAAAATCCTGAAGGTCAGTAGCCTATCAAGCGTCTTCAGCTCCAGGTTTAGCGTGTTCCGAAAACACACAACAACGACCGAACAGCCAGCAAAGTTGGTACGCCTAAATCTCTCAGGCAATCCCATCAAAAAAGCTGACAATTTGTGCTCTCTTCCTGAAGGCTGCAAAATAATCGACGACAAAAAGCACTGAAAGCACTGAAAGCACTGCTGGATCAAAAGCTTTGATTCAAAACTCCTGCACAACCCCGGCTTTCCACCAATCGGCGGCCGCAGCTGTTTTTTTCTCGTAGAGCGATAAGGAAAGAAGCAGATAAGTGTTTGAGGAGGAGCTCTGTAAAAGAATTGCTTCACTTTAGGAGAAATGACAAAACCAAAGCATATTTTGGCCCACGACGACTGCTACTTTTTTGTGGGAATAACTGGGCCGTCCAGCTCAGGCAAATCAACAGTCTCGAAGGTCCTCCAATATCTTTTCAATCAGCTTTCGCAGCATAAAGATGGTCATACAAATGGAACAAATAATATGCATTCTAGCTCGATCAGCTCTGTAATAATATATGAAGATGATTTCTACAAGTCTGATGCTGAAATGCCATTCAACGTCGAGCAACACCAGTTGGATTACGACTGCCCTGATTCGTTGCATATGGATAGATTCATCAATGAGCTAAGGTTCATAAAGAAACATAACAAACTATCTGATCAGCTACTTGAACTCGGATTGGATTCTGATCAGGATCACAGTTTTGATCCCAAGCTAATACCTCAAAATGAATTGGATCAATTGAGCTTGAAGCTTTCAAATTTTTGGCTTGATTTCGTGAATTCAAAAAGCAATGTCAGCTCTAAAACGAAAATCAGCTTGAAAATTGTAATAATTGATGGCTTTTTACTTTTTCATGACGACGCTATCTTGGATTTGCTTGATTTAAAGCTATTTTTCAGATTGCCTTATGATCAACTCAAATCAAGAAGATTAAACAGGAATGGTTACATTACTTCTGATGGTCTTTGGATTGATCCGCCAAACTATTTTGACGATCTTGTTTGGCCATCATATATCAAGTACCATAAGCACTTGTTTGAAAACGATGATATGGAAAGAGGCGAGTTGAGTGTCAATTACAAAGATTCCATCCAGTTGTTGGATCTTAACAGCCATCAAAGCTTATATGGAATCATGAGCAACTGCTTAAATCTTATTTTCAATTCCTTAAATACATATATTCCCGAAGTACATTAACAGAAAAGACAAAATAAAAATTAAAAAACACAATTCGAAATCATGAATAACTTTTATTAAAAATGTAGGAACGAAAAGAAAGTCTAAAATTGAATTAAAATAAAACAAAAAAAAAAAATAAACAAAATAAATTGAAGTCAAAACTAAGCACTGAAAATGTTTAATCATATCTCTTTGGGTATGCAAGCTTCAATCAAGCTATTACCATTGATCATTGTATCCGTCAAAATAATAAATTTTTTCAAAATTCCTTTATCGTTCAATTTCTTTTCAATATACCTCAATGTAGCCAACTCGCCATATGTGATGCCACCAATCATTACAATAAAACTAAAACTTTGAAAGTTTTTCAAAACTTTCTTGGTTTTAACATTATTTAAATCCTTTAACACCAATGATGTATTGTTATTATTGTATTTCAACTCATTCTCCTCAATTGATGTACCAATCAAAAATCTAGAAATATCCTCAAGTCCCTTCCATGATGATATTTGAGAGATATACCTTGATGAAGAAGTTGTTAGATAACTTGACAACGACGAATCAAAAAAAGATCTATCATATGCTGATTGAATTAGTCTTGTTGTAATTGGTACGTAATTGATAAATGCAAATGAAGCATCGTTAGGTGTTTCAATCAAGTCATTGTTGCTATTATTATCTTTACTATTTGGATCATTAGATGGTTGAGTATTATCCGTAATATCATTAGCGGTTGGAACCAAATTAAGGTAGTTTCTTAAATTATTGAAATCTTTAATAAAACACGTTTGATCATTTGTATTAATGTCTAATTCATCAATTAAATCATTATTTAATAATTGGGAATTGTTAATAGATAATTGCAAGTTTGGTAGCAAGGAAATGGATTCTTGTATATAGAATAATTTTAATTTTGACAAATTTTGTAACGTTATTATGTGTTTGTAGCCATAATTTAGAATAATTTCCTTTTTCAAATTCAAGTAATTTTTTTCATTAATACCATTTTTGACTAAAGATAATAAACAACATAATCTTAATGTTTCATAAACAGTCAAGCCTTGGTACATCAACTGAATGATTAAATCGCAGGATTTTTTGATATCATAGTAAGAGGTTAGAAACGAATTTTGTAGATCTAGGATTTTTGAAAAGATTGCATTTTCTTCATCATCCATATTTTCAAACTGGAGTGAGACTTGGTCGGCTGGTTCATTATTGGCAGTATTGGCGTTATTATCGATAGTAGGATTACTATTAATATAATTGTTATTGTTGATGGAGTCATTTTTGACTTTTAATAGTATATTTTCAGCTAATAAAGTGTGATTTTTCAAAAATTTTTGTTTCTTTTGCAAGAAGGATAATTTTCCAACAAATTCTCGAATTTCAGAGACGTTCTTAGCGCTGTGTCTTGAATCAAATTCTGCTTGTAAATTTTTAGCAAATTTATTTAATATTGGACCAACTGAAGCAAAATTCAAATCTTTAATTTTTTTAAAAATAACATCATCATCAAGGTTCAAGTATATTTTATTTTTATCTGGTTTGTCATTTATGTTGGGGTTATTACCTGAGCCTTGATTATTGTTTATATTATCATTCTCACCATTATTATTATTGCCATTATCATTACTAGTAGTGGCGTTATTAGTATTGATATCAAGGGAAATGTTTGATGGTAGGTTAATGATATTGGAATTGATGGTGAATACTTCATCCAATAAGCCTTGGTAAGTCAATTGAGAAAGCAAAGGGGTGACAAAGTCAATAGATCTGTCTAGAATAATCAAATCAGATTGGTTGTTGAATAGGTTGTAAAAATGGTTTAAATCATTGACTGAGTTCAAGTTCAACTGATTATTAATGTTGTTGAGGAAGACTTTTGAGTTGTTGAAAATTTCCTCGTTTTTTCTATCAGCTGGAGATAGGTTACTTAGATAATTGATTTTTAGAATTTTGAAAATCTTGTAAAAGAAAAACGATTTGAAACCCTTGATTAGTACATTATTGAAATTTAGTATCACTGGGTACGTTACGATGAGATTGAGTAAGGCCTTTGCAAGTTTGAAAATTGAGTCGTTGATGTTGTTGAGATACAAGTCGTTTATGAGTTTTGTGCTGGCGCTATCGGCTAAACTGTTATTTGCAGTGGTGGACAAGTTGAGAGTCAATAAATCAGAATTGTTCAAAATCGAAAGAGATAAATCAAGGGGATACAATTGGATTTCACCTTTGATGCCGGACTGCTCCAATTGGTACTCAAAACTCTGGGAGATTTTATCAGAGACAATGCCAAAGTACTTAAAGTTGGTTTGGGTGTTGGAAGAGATGGCGATCAACTCTTTGATTCTGAGGGAGATCAAGTTGGCATTGTGAGAAGAGTTGTCGCACAAAAAAATGAAGCTGTTGAGGTCGTTCAAAAACAAGGAGTTCTGGATGGAGTCGTTTAACCAGAGCACAGTGACGATGCCGGCCTTTTCCTTCAAGACGTTGAAGGGGGTTAAGAGATTGATGACGCTGGAAAAGGAGTTCTGAAGCACCAAGACGTGTTTAGAGCCACCGAGTGAGTTGATGGAGCAAAGTAAGTTGTCAAGGATGTCTGCCTTTAACTTCCTGAGGTCGAACTTTGTGTTAGCCTGGGAGTACGCCGCCATTGTCTGGGTTGCCACTGCTTCTCTCCTTCTGCCACTCCTCTCCTCAACGTCTTCTGATTATATCTGCCGCCCAATCGGGAAACCGCCCAATCGGGCAGTCCCCCTCCGTGCCTACTTTGCGCACTCTCGCGCACTCTCGCGCACCCGGGCTCGCAACGTCGGCTTTGAATGTGTTGCACATGAGCGAACTTTTCAGCTGATGCGTTTCCCGTTGCTTGCGGTGTTTTTGGCGTTTGTCGACGATAATTTTCTGTTTTGCTTCGTTCGCATCGTCTTTTTGGTCCCCTTTGCCTCTTCTGTCTTCTCTACTGTCGACTCTGGAGCTGTGTTTGGTCTGTTTGTGCTACTGGAAATGAGTGATCAGGACATATATATCGATCCCAAGTTGTTCAAAACTAGGCTTGCGATCTTGCAGAAAAACCTATCCAACAACACTTTCAAAGATGTCAACAATTTGCTTTTCATTGTTGGCGTTTCTGATTCGGACTACAATCCATATCAGAAGTCGCTTATTTTGCAGAACTACTTGCTAGGCTACGAGTTTCCCTCCACCTTGATATTCATCACAAAGGACTTGCTAATCTTTGTCACATCGCTCTCGAAGGGCAAGTACTTGAAACACTTGACCAATGACAAAGATATTTTGCTTTGGACAAGAAGCAAAAACGCTGCTCAAAATCTAAAAATCTTCAATGATTTAATTGACAAGATTGTTCAATTGAACCCTGACTCTAAATCAATTAATATTGGGGTCCCAATAAAGGACAAGGTTCAGGGAAAGTTCATCAATGAATGGAATCAGGTTTTCGATAAGAGAAACTCAGAATCTCCCGATACTTTATCCTTTAATAAAATTGACATTTCTCTAGGCTTATCCATTTCAATTCAATTAAACGATCCAATTGAATTGGGTTTCCTCAAAATCGCCTCAAAATCGTCTAATATCATGATTAAATATTTCACCGACCAAATGATTAAAATCGTTGACGACGAGTTAAAGATATCCCACGAAAAATTCTCTGAAAATATTGAAGCCAAAATTGATGACAATAAATTCCTACTCCTACAAAAAAAGAAATACTTTGATCCTTTAAAACTAAACGTTGACTTAAATAGTCTTGACTGGTGCTACACTCCAATCATTCAATCCGGTGGTACTTATGATTTAAAACCCAGTGCTGCCTCAAACTCAAACTTGTTAAGTTATGAGGGCATAATCATTGCTTCCTTAGGTATCAGATATCGTTCATACTGCGCTAACGTTGCTAGAACCTTTTTAATCGATCCAACCAAGGAAATGGAATCAAATTACCAATTTCTACTAAACGTTCAAAAATTCAAACTTTCTTTACTAAAGGTTGGCAAAAAGGCTTCTGAGGTTTATAACGAAACTCTTGAATACATCAAGAAGGAAAGACCCGATTTAACCAACAACTTTCTTAAAAATTGCGGTTGGCTAACTGGTTTGGATTTCAAGGATTCCACATTTTTGTTAAACTCAAGAAATGAACGATCTATACAAAACTCCTTGGTCTTCAATTTAGTCACTGGTTTTCATAACATTAAAAACCCGAATTCAAAATCAAACAATGATAAAGTTTATTCGTTATTACTAATTGACACTGTTCAAATCAACGACAACAACCCAGTTATATTAACAGATTATTCAAAGAATAAAGATGTTGTCTCATTTTACTTTAACGATGAAGAGGAAGATGACAACGACGCCAATGTCAATACCAAAATTAAAAATGAAAATGAAAATGAAAATGACACCAACAATAATAACTCAACTTCATCAAAGACTACAAAAGTCAATTCATCCGCTTCAACGAATGGCAAAAATAACGTCAAATTGAAAAAGGAAAACGATTCAAAATCTCTACCTCCATCAAAAACTGCTGCCACAAAGTCCTCAAAATCTTCAAAGTCCTCAAGAGAACAACCTAAAGCATCAAGGTCAACCAGAAATGGCGACTCCAGAGCTGATAAGTCAAGAAGAAGCTCAAATATCTTAAATACAAAGCTCAGGCGTGAAAATAAAAACCAAGTTGAAGATTTGGAGAAAATTAAAAGAGAAACACAAAAAAAATTACACCAAAAGAGATTAAAAGAAGGGCTTGCACGATTTTCTGCAAGTGATACTCAAAACCAAGATGAGAAAAAACCAGTCTTTAAAAGATATGAATCCTATGTTAGAGAATCTCAAATCCCAACCAATGTTAGAGATTTAAGAATTCATATTGATTCAAAATCACAAACTTTTATTTTACCAATTTGTGGAAGGCCTGTTCCATTTCATATCAATGCCTATAAAAACAGTTCATTAAATGAGGAAGGAGAATATACTTATTTTAGATTGAATTTTAATACCCCAGGTGGTATTACAAGTAAAAAAGACAATGAATTACCCTATGAAGAAGGTTCGGATAATAACTTTGTTAGAAGTTTAACCCTACGTTCAAAGGACCATCAAAGAATGGCAAAGGTTCACAAACAAATTTCAGATTTAAAAAAAAGCGCTGTGAAAAGAGAACAGGAAAGAAAAGCGATGGCTGATGTCGTTGAACAAGCCAACTTAATTGAACTAAATAAATCAAAGGTCAGAACTTTATATTCTCTATTTGTCAGACCCTCTCCTGATTCCAAAAGAATTGCAGGTAATTTGCAAATTCATCAAAATGGTTTAAGATATTTTTCGCCCTTAAGACCCTCGCAAAGAATTGATATTTTATTTTCAAATATTAAACACTTATTTTTTCAACCATGTCAAGATGAATTGGTTGTTTTAATTCATTGTCATTTAAAGACCCCAATAATGGTTGGCAAGAAAAAGGCATTAGATATCCAATTTTTCAGAGAAGCCTCGGATATCTCATATGATGAAACCGGTGGTCGCAAAAGAAGATATAGATATGGTGATGAAGATGAGTTGGAACAAGAACAAGAAGAAAGAAGAAGAAGAGCTATATTAGATAAAGAATTTAAAACATTTGCAGAAACAATTGCTGAAGCCACTAATGGATTAGTTGATTTAGACATTCCATTCAAAGAGTTGGGATTCAATGGTGTTCCATCAAGAGCATCGGTGTTTTGTATGCCAACGAGAGATTGTCTTGTTCAACTATTGGACCCACCATTTCTAGTTATAACTTTGGAGGAAATTGAAATGGCGTATTTTGAAAGAGTGCAATTTGGAATCAAGAATTTTGATTTGGTTTTTGTGTTTAAAGATTTTGCTAAACCAGTTGTCCACATAAATACCATACCAATCGATGTGTTGGAGGATTTGAAGACGTGGTTGACCGATGTTGATATTCCATACTCTGAAGGTAGAGTCAATCTTAATTGGGGGCCTATTATGAAGACTATCTCATCGGATCCATACCAGTTCTTTAAAGATGGTGGATGGGAATTTTTAACTGGAACCGATGAAGACGAAGAGTCGGGCGAGTCAGAACAAGAGTCTGAGTTCCAAGCAAGTGATTCGGACCCTGAAGACGAAACTGACAGCTACAGCGAAAGCGAAGAAGACGATTACACTGGAAGTTCCAGCGAGGAAGCCAGTTCAAGTGAAGAAGAAGAAGGTGAAGACTGGGACGAGTTGGACAGGAAAGCTGCTAAAGCAGATAGCAGGAGGGGGGAGAGGTTCTAGACCGAACTAAACTAGCCCGTAGTTATGATGTTATATTGACAATTTTTATTATATATTTGAAGAACGAGTATCGAAATAAACCACTGAAATGCTTAAGCACCTAATCAGCTTTTGGGCGTGGAAGGTGGAATTTCCTGCCCTTTTTTTCCATTACTAATCGGCTTCGTGCGATTTGCGGGCGATGAGCTGGAAAATAAAAATTTGTTCACGTCAAAACAGGCAAAGTGAGGGTATATAAGAGTGCATATAAGAGTGTATATAAGAGTGTACCTTTACTGAGAGTTTCGTTGTATTATATTTCGTATATTCCATTACACTACTGGATATCATCGATTGCTATCTAGCCATTGGAATACTTCAGCAATGAGTGCGATTCTAAGTGCAGACGATTTAAACGATTTCATTACCCCAGGCCTAGCATGTATCAAGCCAGACATGATAACCAGAAACAAGAACCAGAACAGCAAACAAGAAACACAGGACATCGAACATGAAAACGAATACGAGATCAAAGTCACAGACACTGGGGTGTTTGAGATATCGAAAGATGGCTCCAGGAAGACATTAGACCAGGTCAATATTTCGCTCACAGACTGTTTGGCATGTTCTGGGTGTATAACATCAGCCGAAGAAATATTAATATCCAACCACTCACACAAGAAGTTGATAAGTGATCTAGAAGAAAATAAAAACAATACAAATAAGAAACAGTTTGCCGTCAGTATAAGCAACCAAACAAGGGCATCCCTAGCGAATTCATTAAATTTATCGATTTACAATATTGATTTATTGCTAATTGATTTCTTTATAGATTTTTTGAAGTTCCAGTATATTGTCGGCACAGAATTAGCTAGAGTGATAAGTTTATATTATTCGATTCAAGACATTATAAACAAACAGCATAATACAGATAACGAAAAGACCAAAAATAGCAAAGGTCCATTATTGAGCAGCATTTGTCCAGGGTGGGTTTGCTATGCTGAAAAGACACATCCATTTATTTTGAGTCAGCTATCAGATATTAAATCGGAGCAGCAGATTATTGGTACAATATTAAAGAATTTAGTATCAAGCGAATTAAATTGTGCAATAGATAATGTTTACCATTTGTCTATAATGCCATGTTTCGATAAGAAATTAGAGGCAGCAAGGCCTGAAAAGTTTGGTCAACAAGATAGTAAAAGTGGTGACAATAATAATAGCAAAAATAACAATAACAATCAAGGTAGAGATGTTGACGTCGATTGTGTTATTACAGCAAAAGAGTTGATTCAGCTAATGATTGAAATGAACTATCCTGTGAACGAAGTGATTGAAAAAAAATTTGACAACTTTTATCTTAAAAACTATAATTTAGATGAAATGAATGAGATATATTTAAAGTATTTGCCCAAGAAATGGCCGATTGATGGAATAGAATCCTGGGGAAACAACTTTAATGGAGATTCAACCTCAGGAAATTATTCGTACATTTACTTGTTATATTTACAAAAAAAACTAAAAAAAGAGAAAAATATGAATAACACAAAGATAATTAAAATAAATGGGAAAAACAGCGATATTTATGAGTACCATCTAGTTAATTTAGATGACAACAATAACAAACTTGGTTCAGCTAGTGTGATTAATGGGTTCAAGAATATTCAAAACTTGATACGGAAATTGAAGACAAACAGTAGTAATAGTAATAGTAATGGAGTCATTGGCAATGGAAGTGTTAAACCCAAAAGAATGAATGGACTAGTCGCTAAAAGAAGAGCTCGTGAGTTGAGTAAAAAAAGAGGCAACGCTGGTCGAAATGGCAGAAATGGCAATGATATCAATGGTGGTGTTAGTGGATTATTGCAGGTCGACCCAGTTAGTTGTGATTTTGTTGAAGTGATGGCCTGTCCCAGTGGATGCATTAATGGAGGAGGGCAAATCAATGGGAGCGAGCAGGATAAGGATAAAAACAGCGATAAGGCACTCAAGAAGAATATCGAGGACTCTACATTGAAGTATGAGGATATTGAGAAGATCAAGAAGTTAGACTTTATCGAAAACGATCAGGCTGAGGCAAAAATGACAGAGTTTATTAAAATGTTTTGCAAGCAATATAAAATGGAGGAGAACCGGTTTTTGAGAACAGGCTTCAACGAGGTGGTGAGCAATCCAGACACAATTATCTTCAGCAAATGGTAGTGGTGGCAATGGAGCATGGTCAGAAGAGTCTCACACACTCTTCTTGAGCTGGTCACTAACACACTTTTTGAAAGCAGAGAACTCCTTCTCGCACACGCCCTGGGAGATAGTGGTGTAGGTGTCGAGGATGCACTGGGCGTAGTGCTCGCCAACAGCAGCACAAGAGGCAGAGGCAGAGAGCATTCTCCTGGCAGGTCTGGTGGTTAATAGATGTGGTTTTTTGAGGGAGGACATTGGGATTTCTTCTTTTCTTCTTTTCTTCTTTTCTTCTTTTCTTCTTTTCTTCTTTTCTTTTCTTCTTTCGATTCCTTCGATTGATTTGCAAGATCTTTCTGTGTGGCAACCCAAAGAGGCAATAACCGGGCCCTGTTGCAGATGATTGGGGATTTCAACGTAGAAAAGCTGCTCACATGATCTTATTGTTGGTGTTTTTCCCATTATCACAGTTAGAGCACGTGCTGTTACCGCATTAAGTAATAAAAAAGGGAGTAGATTTTTTTTTCTGCTTTTTTGCTCCATTTTTTTCTGTGTTTCTTCACCAGACTTCTTCTCGTTTTTATTCTTTATACTCAATATATCTATATATCTAGTGTATCTGATACATTCACTAGTTTCTCATATTGTTTTCTGTTGATTGTTTTAGAATCCAGTCATCACAAGTAGCCTGTTTCTTGGGTATTGTCTTTTGCTCTTCTCTAAGGCACTACTGTCCATTGATTGTTGATAATAGTCCAGTTTCCATTAGCCAGAATACGGTTTTAATACTGTTTTAATACTCTTTATCACTATTTTAACACTATTTTCTATAAAGTAACAACTTAGGAATTTTATTAATCGTTTATTACTCGTTTATTGATAGCTTATTAATTTACCGATTCACTAATTTTTTACTTCCAAATTAGTCATAAACTAGATTAAATCTCATATTTGTTGGAAACATCGTATTATATTTTATTATAATATATTTTTCTCAATTGTTTAGAATTTGTTTTGTTGATTTGTTTCTTTGTTTGTGTGTTTGTGTGGATCTTAAATTTTTTAGAGCCTCTGATTATTTTCAGTTGATCACTATTTATCATTGAACATATATAATCATAATTAGATTATTTTATTGAAAAGAAAATGTCAAATGAATCTAATTTTTCTTCCACCACTCCTTTGAATCAAGATGTCAACCAAAAGGAGCCTCCACCACACTCTATTCAAAATGTTTCAAATCAGAATGATACTAATTTCTTTAATAATGATCAAACCAATGAAGAAGACAATGACGTTAATATGAATAACAATAGCAATCAAAATCAAAACAACTCTAATGATTCAAGTAATTCTGACGACTATAATGATTCGGACGAGTCTGATTACTCTGAGAACTCTGAGAACTCTGAGAACTCCAAAAATTCCAATGGTTCTCATCTTGATGATTCTCATCTTGATAACACTGATGAAAACGGTAAAATCGAGGTTGGTTACAATAATGTCCCCAATCAAATTCCATCGAATCAATCTAATGGGTCTTTTGACTCTAACGCCACAACAAATCCAGTTGATTCCATTGAAGCCCCTAAAGGATCTGAAGAACTTAGAATCTCAGAGGACTCTAAAGACCCTAACAACCATGACAACCAAAACCCATCTGAAAATAACAATAAACAAGAGAACGATGATGATGACAATATTAATGACAACAATAATGATAATGATAGCGCTAGCGAAAATGTAACTGAAAGCGTAAGCGAAAGTGGGAATTCTAGCGATAGCGATAATAACGACGATAGTGAAAGCAATAGTGACAGTGACAGTGAAAGTGATAATGATAATGAAAGTGATAGTGATAGTGATGAAGATAGCAATAGTAACAGCAATGATCACCAAATTGAAAATGAAAATACCAATACCAATGCCATTGATGAATTAGACTCAAAAATCTTACTAGCCACTATTGATAAAGAGATCCCATTGTCTCCTTTAATCTTGAATACTACAAATATTAAAGATCCAGATATCGATAACCAAAAATTAGAATCCTCCACTGTCGACTCGGATTATGATCCTGAAAATGTTTTGTTCAACAAAGATATAAAAGACCTTCTATCTGATTCAAACAAAAAATCAGGCTCTCCTACTCCAAAGAAATTATCGCCATTTACAAATAAAAATGCAATTCCAAATTTGAAATCAAAGTCCAATTTTAATTTTGGTTTCCTCAAAGAAGAAGAAGACAAAATCGAAAAAGCAAATAAAGCCAAAAAGGCCAACAAAAAAAGTAACACTACAAATGATAATGAACCAGGTGATATCAATCCAAGTGATAATACCAATAATAATTTAAATAATAATAGTAATACTAGTAATAATATTAATATTAATAACAACAATAACAATAACAATAACAATAATAATAATGATAATAATAATAACCAAAATAAAATTAAAAAGGATAAAAAAGTCAGTTCTTTGCCCTCAATTCCAAACAAACCTTCAAATAAATCAAATTTCAAAAATAAAAAGATACCATTCTCTCCTTTAACTCCTGATATATCATTAGCTAAAAAAATGTTAAACATGCCATTTTTAAATGATCCAGCTTTCATGTCTTTGCCTGAAAATGAAAAAGAAGTTATAATTGCCAACTATTTGAAAACTGATATTACCAATAACAACAATAATAATGTATCTTATGGTGAATTCAAATTGACTCCAACTCAACCAAAAGGAAGTGCAGAATATCAAAACTTGAAACTTAAAAATCTTAAATGCAGAAGACCAGATATTGATTCACCAATGACGTCTTCAGAAATTGAAGATTATTCTAAATTTGTTCATAATGAAGCGCAGTACTTAACATCAGGGAACTGGGAGCAGTTTCCATATGGATCTAGATTGTTTATTGGAAATTTGCCAGCAAATTCTATTACGAAACAAAACATGTGGAGAATTTTTAATCAGTATGGGGATGTTATTCAAATCAGTATTAAAGAAGGATTTGGATTTTGCCAATTTCGAACAATTGATCAATGTTCAGCGGCGATTGAAGGTGAGAGCAATGTTCCATTGCGTGGGAAAGTTATGCATCTTGAAATCTCTAAACCTCAAAAGACCACTAGTAGTGGAGGAAACACTTCTATTAGTGTTGGTGTTGGTGGCAGTAGCAGTAATATCGGTAATAATAACAATGCTAGTAATAGTGCTAGTAATATTAATAATAACAGCAATTCTAATGAAAATGGGAATACTAGCGTTGGGGGAAACTTGATGAATAGTATGAGTTCGATGAGTATGAATAATACCAATAATAATATGAATATGAACATGAATATGGGGATGAATATGAACCCGATGGGGATGGGAATGAATATGAATCCAATGAAGACTAGTGGGCAAATAGGGAAGAATATGCTTGGAAGTAATGTGAACAATAATTTAAATACTAGTAACGATTACAATAATAATCATTATTCTCGGAATAATAATGGTAATAATGGTAATAACAATAACAACAATAACAATAACAATAACAATAACAATAACAATAACAATAATAATAATAATAATAATAATAATAATATGAATGATAATTTCCGAGGGGGAAATAAACGCCAAAGAGATAATGATTTTGGAAACAAACGAGGAAATAATATGAATAATGGAATATTAAAGAAATCTAAATTAACTGATGGAATGCATAATAATTTTCCGAAGACAGAGCCACCGGAATGTCTTATATTTGTGAAAAAAGCAGCAGACAGGAAATTTGTGGGACAATTACGAAACCAAATAAAAGCTGCAAATCTTTCAACGTGGGCTACAGATATTATCCCACAGGCTGATTTAAAATCGTTGATCAATGAGGCGGCATATGGGGGAGTTCATGGAGTCGTTACAGTGCACAGGGATAGTAATATTGACGTGCAGGTATTTGAAAAAACGCCAGAGGGAGGAATCAGGTTTGATGAGTATTTGGCAGTTCAGTTGAATGTGGCAGTTCAGTTAATGACGAATATGAAGCGATCGTTGAGTGGAGGAGGCCGAGGAAGTGGTATGAACATGTCGCTGTATAGTGGCAGTAATCAGATGGGAAATATGAATATGAGTCCGATGGGGAACAATATGAATATGAACATGGGGATGAATAACAACCGGAGAAACCGAAACCGAAATAATATGAACCATATGAACAATGGAATGGCGAATATGAATATGAATATGAATATGAATATGGGAATGAATATGAACAATAATCATTTCAGGAATAAGCACAATGGAAATAATAATCGGAACAATATGAGCATGAACAATATGAATATGAATATGAACAATATGAGTAATATGAATAATATGAATATGGGTAATATGAACAGTATGAACATGAACAACATGAACATGAATATGAGCATGAACAATAATAACAATATGAATAATAATGGGCGAAATAATTTCATGAATAACAATCGGTATGGCAATGCTGGTGGAAATGGCATGTCTAATATGGGCATGAATATGAATGATAGTTCCAGTAATGTCAGTGTTGGCAGCAGTTCCAATCACAATATTCCGTTGTCTGGAATGAATGCTCAAAATGTTTTGGGCCTCCAAAACCTCGACCCCAACACCTTACAAACGATGATCTCGATGCTCCAGAGCCAGAACGCGAACAACAACAATAACAATAACAACAACAATGGCAATGGAAGTGCCAACTCCAATGCATCCAGCGCTGGCACACAGAGTGGAAATCCCACACTGAACAGCTACGGCATGGGCTTTGGCAGCAGCAGCTCCTCCAGCACAGTGCAGTTTTTGATGGACAGCCTCAACAAGCTTCAGCAGCCCTGAGCGAATAAACGTCTTTGCTTTCCAATTATTTGGCTTCAAAAGCCTCTGCCCCAAAAACATTTCAGCACCGCCACGTTGGCCGCGGCCCCTTTTCGACACGCGCAAGTTTGCAGAAATGAGTGCTATCTCGGACCTCTACACACGTGACGCAGCACATGGCAGATGCACCCCCGAAAAAACGGATGTGTGGTGTGCAGACCCGTGGCGGTGGAGAAACGGCGCCTGATCGCTTTGTTCTTCTGCTTCTGCTTCTTCTTCTTCTGCTTCTTCTGCTGCTTCTCCAGCTGAAAAAGCCCATCGCCAGACTCCGAAGACACCAGAAGAGTCTTCTCCTGCTTGTTTCGCGCTTTGCAAGAGAACTGGAACAGAAAGAGGTCCTCCACAGTTCCCACCACACACCAACTCTATCCTGGATCAAACCCAGCTTGTTTCAGCTAATTTGCAACCTCCTCAGGTCTTTCACAACGAAGGTTTTCACCTGTGTCTGCTTTTCCTACACTTTGCAAGCTTCAACGTCGTTGCCATCGTCATCGTCTTTATAAATACTGCTTATAGCATACATATTCCTCTATTATAATATAACCTATCTCTCTGCTGTTTCTACTGCCCAAATAATGAATAATCCTAATTTCAACATCGCCAACATGAACAACCTCAACCAACAAAACAACAACAGGCGCTTCAATCATAACAGCCATAACAACAACCACAATAACTATAATCCTAACCCTATTCCCTATCCTAGCATCAACCAGGTTCCTCATGGCTATCCTCCAGTCTATGGAGCCTATCCAAATTCCTCTTTTTATCCTTTACAATACTCCCCTGCTGTCTTCAACCCCAATCTAACCAATAACAACAGTAACAACAACAGCAACAACAACAATAGCAATAATAATAACAACAGTCCTAATATCAATAATAACAATCCCAATAGCCCAATTCCAGCCTCTGCTCTACCTTTACTGCCTCCCCATCCTCAACATCAGCAGCCCCACTTTACTCACAAGAATAAACACTACAATAAAAGAAACAACAATAACAGTAACAGTAACAATAACAACAATAACAACAATAACAACAATAACAACAATAACAACAATAACAACAATAACAACAAAAACAAAAACTACAATGCTATTCCCAACAATAGCCAGAATATAAATCAAATCAATCCTAATCTCAACCCTACTCTTCCTAATATTCCAAACATCCCAAAAAACTACAACAACTACAACAACAACTATAACAATCACTACAACAGCTACAACCAAAATAGCAACGTAAATAACATAAATAGTAACCCAAACAACTTTAACAATTTGAACAGCATAAATAACTTGAATAACAACCAAAATAACATAACCTACAACAACAACAATAACAACAGCAACAACAACTATTCAAAGAATACTAATATTCCCTTTACATCTCCTAAACCTCAAAAGATCATCATCAGAACTCCTGATGGCACCCCAGTCTCTCTAAAAAACCTCAAGTATAAAAACTCCTCCTCAAATCCTTCCTCTCAAAATAACTCTCAAAACAACTCACAAAACAACTCCCGTAATGCCTCTCAAAATAATTCTCGCAATAACTCCCCCATCGTCTCAAATAAAAACTTGTTCATCTCTTCCAACTCCAACTCAACAAAATCCATCCAAAAATCTCCCTTGAAGAAATCAATCTCAATCAATCAACCCAACCCTGATTCAATTCAAACCCAACAAACTCTTCCCTCCATTCCCAACACTACCATTAAAAAAAACGATGACGTTGTTCTGTTGTTTAAACAGCAAATTATCGAAAGAGCAAAAGCCGCCGAACTACAAAAATCAAAGGCTCGCGAGACTTCAACTTCTCCAAATGTCTCCACTATGATCATCCCGAAAATTCCCACATCTTCAAAGAGTCCGAACCTTCCTACAGCTTCCATTTCATCTCCAACCCCAACCCCAACCCCAGCCCCATCCTCAACTTCAACTCAAAATCTAAATTCAGAATCAATCAAAGAAAAGTTCAAAAAAGAAGTTCAAAAAAGATCCCATAGAGATCAAATTACTTCCACTTCCACCTCTCCTTTACCTGATAAAATTCAACCACAGTCTACTCAAAAAGTTAAATCACTAGTTGAAAAGTTTGAATCAAAAAAACCCACTTCAATCCAATTAGATAAAGACCAATCCGAAAAGTTTACTTCTCAAAATATCGTTCAAAGCTTATCCGTCAATGAACAAATCAAAGAAATCGCAAAGGAAATCGCAAAAGAATCTAAAGAATCTAAAGTCTCCCAAAAAATTGTCAGCGATCAATCTCAACTAGATTCTCAATTTACTTCAGAAATTAAAATTGAACCTGAATTAAAACAAGTATTTGACGCTGAATCTAATTCTCAAAGTACTTTAGATATCAAAAAATCTGTAACTTCGCCCAAAATCAAACACAAAACAGTCCAAGCTAATCCTGTTAAACAAAAAGTGGACTCAAAGTTTAAACCCGAGATTAAACCACTGAACAAAGAAGCTAAATCAGAAGTTAAATCAGAAGTTAAAAAAGATGCTAAGTCAGATGTTAAGTCAGAAATTGTACCAGAGATTAAAAAAGATGTTAAATCTCCAGCTAAACCTATTGCTAAACCTGAATTTACACCTATTGCTCAACAAGAGATCAAACTAGTAACCAAATATATTGCCAATTTAGAGACTGGACCAGAAGTTAAACCAAAAGCTAAGCCGGAAATCAAATCAGAAATCAAGCCTGAAGTTAAGTTCGAAGCTAAGTCTGAAGTTAAGTCTGAGATCAAACCAGAAATCAAACTCACTTTTAAACCTGAAGTCAAACCTGAAGTCAAACCTGAAATAAAATCTGCAATAAAACCTGAAGCTAAACCTGAAGCTAAACCTGAAGTCAAACCTGAAGTCAAACCCAAAGTCAAACCTGAAGTCAAACCTGAAGCTAAATTAGAAATCAAACTTATCCCTAAACCAAAGATTGATCCTGAAGTCAAACCTATTGCTAAATCAGGGATTAAACCTGAAGTCAAATTTGAAGCTAAACCAGATATTAATTTCCAAGTCAAACATGAGGTTGAACCATCTACTGAACTAGAAATTAAGCCTGAATTCAAACCAGAAGTTAAACCAGAAGTTAAACCAGAAGTTAAACCAGAAGTTAAACCAGAAGTTAAACCAGAAGTTAAACCAGAAGTTAAACCAGAAACCAAAACAGAACTTAAAACAGAAGCTAAATCAGAAATTAAATTACCTATTAAACCAGAAATCAAAAAAACTGATACCACAACTCAAAATCCAACCATATTCAAACCAGAAACTAAATTACCTGATTCCAGAGATGTTGAAGTTAAAAAACCTGTAATCGAATCTATAATACCTCAGCTCAAACAAGATGTGGTTGATCAACCAACTAAAGTTGTCAACGAATCTGAAAGAAAAATTGAATCTACTCAACAGGATGTTTCTAAACCAACTGAGCAGTTTGCTCCTCAAAGGAATAATAATGAGACTAACATCAGTTTTGATGTTGAAAATCCTGAGGTTCAAAAACCACCTGAACATCAAGAAATTATTATTCAAAAAAGACAAAATGTCTCTAAATCTTCAAACTTTGGTTTGCCCTCGAAACCTGAAGTTCAAGCTGTCTCGACTGATTTTTCGTTATCAAATCTATTTGATCAAATTAAAATTTCAATTGCAATTAAAAACCCTTTTGAATTTAATTATCCTCCTGGTATCAATCCACCAAAATCTGGATTATCAAAAGACAGAAAAAAGGTTTATGATCCTGGGTTTCTTTATCAGTTCAAACCTTTATTGAAACTATATGTTGAACCTGATCTTAAAGAAAAATATTTCAGCAAAATTGATGTAAATGTTAGATCTAACTCTAGAAACTTCCATCACAGTGGTGGTGGCGGAAATAATTATGGGAATAATCGTTCTTTTGCAAGTAGAAAAGTTTCTTTTAATAACTTTGGAACTGGCCAATTCAATCAAAGGAGCAATAGTTTAAAGGTCAATTTTGATATGCCCAAGCAAAATCAAAAGTCTTCAAGAGTAAGCTCTAAAAGAAGAAACAATAACAAAAGACCTAGTTATTCCAACATGAATATGAACCAAGGCTTCAACCAAAATACAAATCAAGGCTTTGATCAATCATTCAACAACACCAAACCACCTATGGATTTGAATCAAGGAGTTAATAACTTTAACGATATCAATCAAAGTAATCTAAAAATTATTCAAGAGCAAAACAACCAGGTCCAAAATGGTGCAAAGGCAACAGAAGTTAAAACTGAAACAGAAGTCAAACTTGTGGCACCAAAGGAAAAGAAAAATGTATGGGTTCCACGTTCTAGAAGAACAGTTGCACTCTCTCCAGAAGAAGAAAACAAAATTCAAGTTAAATCCTTATTGAACAAGCTAACATTAGAAAACTTCCAGATCATAACCGATGATTTAATTGCAATTGCCAACAAGTCGGTTGATGAGGAAGACGCAAAAACTTTGAAAAACACCTTAGAATTGACTTTTGCTAAAGCTACTGATGAACCTCATTGGTCTTCGATGTACGCTCAATTTTGTGCTAGATTGTGCACAACAGTTAATGAAGCTGTTTCTGACGCTGGACAGATTGATAAACACGGCAACGTAATCTCTGGTGGTGCTTTAGTTAGAAGATGTTTATTGAATAGGTGTCAAGTTGAGTATGAGAAAGGTTGGGCAAATAGCATTCCAACCAATTCAGATGGAACTCCAATGGAAATTGAAATGATGTCTGATGAGTACTACGTTGTTGCTGCTGCCAAAAGAAGAGGTTTAGGTTTAGTCAAATTCATTGGTGAATTATTTTGTTTGAATCTTTTGTCTGATAAAGTTATATTTACAATCTTGCAAGACCAATCGAAACCAGAAAACACTTCAGAAGATGTTTTAGAAACTTTGGCGCAATTAGTAAAGACATCTGGACCCATTTTAGAGGAGAGTAAAGGACGAGAGGTATTGGATTTGATTTTCAAAAGGATTGAGCTTATTTCTCAAAACAGCTCGTTGCCTTCGAGATCCAAGTTTATGTTGTTGGATTTGATTGATCTCAGAAATAATAATTGGGTATCGTTAGAAGGTAACAAGGGTCCAAAGACTATTGCCGAAATTCATGCCGATGAAGAAAGAAAGAGAATGTTAGAAGAAAATGAAAGACAAGAAAAAAGAAGGGGCAATAGAAATTTTACTGCTAATGACATGAAGCCTCCTTTTTCTGGTGGCCGTCAAAATTCTGGAAGACAGAATTCTGGTCGACAGAATTCTAACAGACAAGGTGGTGGCAGACAAAATTCAAATCGTCAAACTTCTGGCTGGGGCACGAATTTGGTTTCGAAAAACGAAATCAATATTGTTGGTCGTTTTAGAAGTTTTGGAGCTAATAGTGGAACTCTAGGTCCAAAGAACAATTTCAGAGCCAATAGACAGAAATCCAATAGTCCTGGCACTTTGTTACCAAAGGAATCGTCTTCAGAATCATCTGATACCAAAAAAGCTGAAGCCAAGGCCAATGGAAATAATATGTTCGATATACTAAATTCCCATGGTGATGAAGACGAAGACGATGATGATGATGAAGAAGAAGAAGAAAAAGCTCATCATTGATCTAGTTAAGATGAAATACAAACTCAAATTCAAGTTCAATGTGACACATTGCATTTATTTTTACTATTATTTTTATTGGTGATACAAAAAGATTCTCTAGCATATTTTTTTATTGTTTCATATTTTAAAAAGCACTATTATTAAAATCAAAGGATACTTGTTTTCGTTTTGCGATTTTAAAATCTAATTCTGCATTCTATTTTTTTATGAAGAAAATTCTAATATAATTTGTTTCTCTTTGTTGTTTTAGTTGGAGTATTTTTGTTTTTTTATTCAATACTTATATTTGATACTTTCATTTGTTTATGTTTATTTATTTTTTTACAATTGTTCGTTTTAGTTTCACGTACACTGAATTTTTATTTCAGATTTCTACAATAAATAATTATAAAAAAAAAAGCGTAGTAAATAAAAAATCTTTGGTTGTAAAAGTCTCTTGTTTTGACGAACCAAAGCCCAGAAAACTGGTCTGTGTTGGCCCATTTTTATTCAATCAGCCCAAACTCCTCCACAAAAGCAGCTTTGCTTGAAAAACGTCGTCCATGTAGGATTTCTAAAGGCTTTACCACTGTGGGAACCTAATTTATCAGAGAAAACAGTCATGGATCCACATCGAGTGCACTTCTTTATCTCCTCGTTTGGTAGAGTGTTCAGTATCAAAGTCTTCTTCAAACCATCGATTTTTTCTCCTCTGAAACTGCCAATTTCCACTCTGTGGTTGCTCGGCTCGCTTAGGTTCAACCAATCAGTATCATAAAACATCAACTTATATCTGTTCATTTTGCCATGTACTTCCTTGTAGCCATACTTGTACAAGTCAAGGATAATCTTCGAAAAGATTTGAGGAAAACTGCCATGACAAAAAAACTCTTTTTCGATTTTCTTTATTTCAATATCTTCTATATGCTTTCTTTTATCTGCACTTAAATTGGACAAATTACTTGCGTTAATTCTCTCATTAATCCTATCTGAAATAAACTTTTTGATAAATTCGTCAAACTGCTCAAGATACTTTTCAAAGAGTGCTAAATCAATTGGAGAATTATCTATTATTCTCAAAACTGTACTCTTGGCTGAATTTATGGGCTGTTCAAGTTCAACAAATAAGCCTGGGGAAATATTGAAATAATCTGGATTTAAATGTATATGTTCTTGCAAGAATCTTTTGAATTGGAGAATGCTCTTTAGTATTTTTATGAGAAACGTTCTAGGAATCCTGGAGTACAGTAATGGAAATATTAATAACTCACTTAAGGCAGTTGCTTTATCGAAAACCAAAGAAAACTGAAGCAACTGCTGGTTCAAAAAGGTGACATAGTCTATGCACCAACGAATTAATCCAACCTGAGATAGGATTAACTTTGCAATAAGTTCAACGTTAGTTTTGATATTTTTTTCGTCACCTCCATGTAGTTTTTTTAGCATTGTTGTTATAGCATTAAATGAGATTTGAAAGACAAATGGAATTAGCGATAAATTTATTAATGCCCATGCAAATCTTGAAATTTTGATTCTTCTCCAATTCTCGAAAGTTCCAAGTGAAATTTGTATCTCCAACATCTTTCTAAAGGGCGATTTTCCCTGTATAAACTCTGCATTATCGTTGGTAGTTAAACTAAAATTAAAGATCCAATAACATTCCAGTAAAATTATAGATATCAATGCTTTACAAATATTGGAATCCGTTTTGGGATTATAATGTAATGCAACCATTCTCCTAATGTTTGTTATTGTATTTTGAGCTACCAATATTAAATCATCTGAGTTAATTTTGGTTGTGGTGCACCTAGCAAAGGAAATTGCAATGGGAACAGCAATTAATAATCTTTGCCTTGGAGAGTTTAACAGTTCTTTTTTAAAATCAAAATTTGCAACAAAAAGTTTTAAATTGGGATCCTTTGATGATAAGACAACATATGAAGTTACGTTTGGCGAAAATGAATAGAACAAAGGGTTAAAACCAACAGATGGTAATTTATAACCCACATCAAATATATTGCCAATGGTACTGGGCATGTTTAAAATATCATTATTTATAACATTTCTTTTATTGACATTATTAGCAGGGTTTTCCAGTAGAGTTTTATAACCAATTATTTTCAAACTGTGTTTGTTTCGTATCTCAATGTTACCATTTGAATAGGCAAAATAAAGAAAAGAGTTGATTTTGTTTGTTCCAATTGATAATACTGGACTAGATGATTTGATGAGACTCTTTAGAGATAATTCGTACCCACTGATATTTGAATTAGTAATAATGGTGTTATTATTATTCCTGGTATTTTTAATATTAGTGTTCATATTATTATTGTTGCCTGTATCATTTATATTCTTATTAGTATTATTTTTCAGATTATTGCTAATTTGGTAGAATACATTACTTATGGGGCCCAACTTTTTTTTTTCCAAGTGATATTTACAGATAAGAGTGTTGAATTTCTCATTGAGATTTGAGTTTTGAAAAGTTAAAAAAATGTCAACTTTTTCGTTTGAATTGGTATTATCTTCAAAATAAACGGGAGATATTGATTTAATGGAGGAAAGCCATTGAGATGAGCCATCAAAACCAAAAGAAGAAATATTCTCGGATAAGATTTTTTTGACTATTAATTTTGGTGGAAATCTTTCATCCAAATTATTATCTTGTTGATAGGCTGATTGGTTTTTTGTTTGATTGTTTGGATTTCCTAAAAACTCCCATAAAATTCTAATAGAGTAAATTTTTAAGATTTTTATCAATGGACAATAAACAGTTAATAGGATTGAGTTATTAATCTGAAAAGCAAAATCGGCATGAGATATTATGGTGTGGCCAGAGTTATTTAAGCTATTGATACTTTTATAATTGATATTGCTAATATTATTAATATTGTTAATACTGTTATTAGTAGTGGTAGCTGATGAAGAATCGAGATAAGTTGAAATTTTATTGTAATCTAAACCATGGTCGCCTTGATACCATAAAATTAGCTCGCCATTTTTTCTTAACCCAATACAGGCATGTTTCTTCAAGACTGGATGAGTAACAGGGTTTTTATAGGTAGAGTTGATATAGTTGTATTTAAAACCAAATTTTTGAAAATCGTATTCTGCATTTGCGTTCATATTTTCAGAAAAGTTAAATTTTTCAGCATATTTGATTGCCATGAAATTATGATCAATAGGAAGCCATTTTAAGGATACAATGTTCAGTGTTGAATCATTAATATTATAAGTTGAGCAGTAATTGTCAAAAGTTGGAATTGAAGTATTAGATGGGTATATGTTGTGAGAGGTATTCAAGTAAGAGTTTTCGGGGGGAGTGCTTCCCTGAGTTAGGACAGTGTCCTGATATATGATTTCTAGACTATTAAAGCATGAGCCAAAAAAAGCAAAATTCAAAGGTGTATTAGTTTTATTTTTGTTATTGCTGGTATTACTATTGTTGTTTTCAATAAAGTCTTTGTCTTTTAATATTCCAGAAACTAGAATGTTCATGTTACCTTTTGAATCTACGCAGGCTAGATAAGTACCATTATTGCTCCAAAGAAGATAAGAGATTTGATCTAAAGAAGAGTTATTTTGAGTATCAATTGGGATGGCATTTGAGATGATGATGTTGTTGTTGTTGTTGTTAGTTTTGATATTATTTTTAGTGTTATTTTTGATAATGTTTTTAATATTTGAGTTGTTATTTAGGTTTGAATTAATAATAGAGCAACCCTTTGGAGGAGCTAGTTCCCATTGGTTACCGTTATAAGACCTTAGATAGGAGAGTAATAGGTTATATTTATTTGAAGAATCTGGGTTTGAATAAGCGATTACACCATTGTTTGACCAAGAGATTTTGCTAAAAGAGAAAAGAATTGAAGAATTGAAAAGTGGGGAGATAATAAGTTAGTAAATACGAAATGAAATAAGATGAGAAGGAATAGAATGGAATGGAATGGAATAGAATGGAATAATTGCATACTTTTGATAATTTTGATTTAGGAGAGAATAAATATCTGGGTTATCTGGGGGACTAAATGACATAGTTTGGGATGTGGGTAAATGAAAGCAGGTATAAAAGAATAGTTGCGATAAGTAAGCCGAAAAGGGAAGAGGATATAGTAAAATGTTATCAGAGGCACGTGATCAGAGTGAAAAATTTGAGGTTTTGAATGGGAAAGAGCTCAATGTGGAAATATTTCGGAAGGGTTTTAGTTGGGGCTAGAAAAATGTTAAGAGTTAACCGTTGTGCTGTGGATAAAGGAGTTATACAAGCAAATCTTACCCAGTTTGCAAAGTGTAATAGATATTTTTCTTGTTCATTAGTGGGATTTGCGAAAAAAGGTGGTAAATGGAAAAAAAACAGCAAAGATAACTCGGAAAAAGAGAAGATTAAATTTTTCGGTAAAATCTCGAATAATTTGAGCAGTGGGATCATTGGGTTGGCGAATGTTGGCAAGTCCAGTTTTTTTCAAAATATTACCAGAAGCAAATTGGGAAATCCTGGGAATTATCCATTTGCTACAATAAAACCCGAAGAGAGTCGGGTATTGGTGCCATCAAAACGGTTAAATGTGTTGAGTGAAATATATAAGTCAAAGAAGAAGATTGGGGCCTTTTTGAATGTTATCGACATTGCTGGGTTGACCAAAGGAGCATCTAAGGGAGAAGGGCTAGGAAATCAGTTTTTGAATGATATCAAGAATGTTGATGGGATATTTCAAATGGTTCGGGGGTTTAATAAGAAAGAGATTGTGCATATTGAAGGCGATGTTAATCCTGTGAGAGACTTAGAGATTGTATTTGATGAATTGATATTAAAAGATATGGAGTATCTTGAGAATCATTTAGTTAAAATGGAGAAGAAGAAGAAAGGCGAAGGAAAGAACAGTGGAGTGGTTAAAGAGATTGAAGTTGTCAAAAAGGCATTAGAATCATGTCTTTACAAGAATATTCGGATTATGAATTTTGATTGGAGCAACGATGAGATTGAGGTTTTGAATCAATTCAATCTCTTGACTTCAAAGCCTGTTGTGTATTTGCTTAATGTGTCAAAGGAGGATTATTTGAGCAACAGAAACGAGTATTATGAGGATGTTAAAAAATGGATATCAGCAAATTCAGCAAATGACGAGTTGATTATGTTTTCATCGGAATACGAAAGCGAACTCAACGAGAGAGCTGAAGCTGAGGGCGAGCTCCAGAAAGAAATGGAAGAATACGAAGAACCTTCGGATAAGGACGAGAAGTACGACGGGAGCGTTTTGCCGAAGATTATCAAGACGATGCGACGCAGGCTCCGGTTGATCAGCTTCTTCACCTGCGGACCTGTCGAAGCACGGGAGTGGACGATCCGCAAAGGTACGACAGCGCCGGAGGCAGCCGGAGTGATTCATACGGATCTTCAGAACAACTTTATCTGCGCCGAAGTGCTGGCGTACGGGGACGTTGCGTGCGAGCTTCCGAACGCAACCAAGTTCGATTCGTCCAAGCTAGCCAAGACCGGCCGTGTTGCGCGTGTGGGCAGCTCGTACACGGTGCGGGACGGCGATGTTGTCTTGATAAAGGCGGGTAATATGCGCGCTCGTTAGGGGGTCTGCGCTGCCGGGGTCTGCACTGTAACGTGGTGCCACAAACCAGGGGGGAGGGACGGCAGTGACGTCTTTTTCTGGGATGGGTCTTTTTTTATCAGCAAAATGTGATTAAACTTTTGTTTCTCCTTTTTGTTCAAAATCACAACTCACAAAACTCCAGAGGTGTTAAAAACTGCTTTACGACTGTTTTCTCTGTGGGAGTGTTAAAACTGCTGTAAAAACTGCTGTAAAAACTGCTGTAAAAACTGCTCTGAAGACTGCTATTATTTGTTGAGACTGCTCCGAAGAACTGCTATTGCTACTCGTCTCTCCACTGCCTTCTCTGGCTGGTTTACTCTTCCTCGTTCTGCTCTCGCTTCTCGGTTTTTTATATCTTTCACAAGGACACATAACTTCATCTTACCATATTCATTTCATATCCATTTCGTATCTCTTTAATATCAGCTTCATATCTCTCATATTTCATTATTTCACTATCTCTCATATTTCACTATTTCACTATCTCGCTATTTGTTTTTTCGTTTTTTCGTTTTTTTGTTTTTTTGTTTCTTTTTTCCTGCTTTCTCTGTTTAAAACCACTTCCAAGAATCTGCAAAATGAGTAATATTCATTTTAATAACAATAATAATAACAATTACAATAACAACTACAATAACAATTACAATAACAACTACAACTACAATCTTAATCATAACCACAATAACAGCAACATCAACCATGAAAATCCCGACTCCATATTGAAATTTGATGATAACGATAATGATGAAGATGCCTCCATTTTCAGACACCAGTCAACTGCATCAATGGATTCAATGAACTCGATGGCAACTACTGGCAGACTTTTGGATAGACTAGGTCTTGATGACGACTGGAATGACGACGACTTGGTAGACATTCCTCCTTCTCCAAAGATTAACAATAACAACACTAGCAATATTCTTAGTAACAACCCCAACAACAACAATGTTAACAAATTTATTAACAACAATGCCCAAAACCATCCAAACTTAAACTACCAGTTCAATCCTCAAAATAACACACTATCCTCCAATAATACACTATCCTCCGATAACCTAAATAACAATCCTAATCTTAAAAATAAACTGGTCAACAAAACTAACGGCCACATACTAAACCATCTTCACAGAGACAAATCTCCCTTAAATTTAAATATATCTAAAGATGACTCTCATAAACATTCAAACCCTCTATCTCCCCTTAAAAACAGGTTTTCCAGACCCAACTCAACTTCAATTTCAAACCAAAATTCAAACCCAATCTCAAATTCAATCTCAAACCAAAACTCCCTACCTCTACCTCCTTTCACCAATAAAAATACCTCCTCTGGTAACTCCTCTCCTTTATCTCCAAACTCCAACCACTTGACTCACACTGTTTCAAATAACCAAAACCAAACCTCCTCCTACAATCAACTTCAACCTTACCACAATCTATCGAACGACTCTCTCTCTTCCTCAAAAAATAAAAATAAAAACCAAACTCAACTACCTCGCTCTTCCTCTTCCTCTTCTTCTTCTCCCTCCTCTTCTCCACCTAAACAATTCCATCCTCCCCCAAATACCTCAAATTTTCAAGACCTGCAAAGAAGAGGCTCTCCTCCAATTTCTGTCCCTGCAAATAGGTTTCCTTCTTTAAACCCACGCTTATTACAACACTCCAAATCTTTCCATCAACCTCAAAATCACGATGACTCCTCAGCCTTAATCACTGCAACCGCTTTGGGTAAAGTAGTAGGCCAAGTTAAAACTCCCGTAGTTAAAAGTGTAGAAAATAATCAAGTCTTTGCTCATGCCTCAAGTGCCATAATCAACATTGAATCAAATGATGATTCAAACTACATTGATCCAAAAAATCAAAAATTTAACATCAACTTTGATACAAAAAACATTCTTTCAGGTCTCAATACCGATCCCAATAACAATATCAATAATAACATTAATAACGATAATATCAATATAAATTTTAATGATAACAACAATTTCAATATACAAAATCATAATTTACAGCTGCTACAACTGCAACAAATTAATAAAAACTCAAGCAGCTCAAACCTAAATTTCTTCAATTCCCAGTATTCAAATCAAGATAATAATAACATCAACAACATTAATGATCTCTCCGTCCCTCAATCAAATATTCGTAAATCTTCCTTTTCCTCAGAACAATCTGGTGACTCATCAAACTCTTCTCCAGATACTAACTATGATCCCGAAGATGAAAGAGTTAAAAAGGCAATCAAATTACGTAAACAAGGCTATCCTAGAGAAGCTTCATACGAGCTAAATATTGCTGCAAACAATGGCTCAAAGGCAGCAATGTTACTCTACGGAATAGCTCTAAGATACGGATCTGGTTTAAGAATCGATGAAAAGAAATCCTTTTTATGGATTTGTCGTTCGGCTGGTGTTGATATCATATTGATCAACTCAGCAAACTTCTCAGTAGATCCCTTTGATATCCAAGATTCAAATATACCAAAGATTCCTCCAGAACCAGAAGCTCAATCAAATTTCGAAATTGGCATGTCCTTTATAAATGGCTGGGGTGTCGAAAGAAACGAAAATAAAGGCTTGGAATTCGTCGAAAAGAGCGCCAGTTTAGGTTACGTCGAAGCCATGGTTGAAGCAGGAAACATTTGGTCAAAAAAAGGAAGCCATAGAAAGAAAAACTTATACAGAGCTGCTGTGTGGTACAGATTTGCAGACAAAAGAGGTGCAAAACTAATTGGTACCAGTTGGATTTATAAAGAAAAATACATGAAAAGAAAATAATCAATTAATAATCAATAATTAATTAAAAATAAACCAATTTTTTTATTCAAAGAATATTATCAAATTTTTCCTCTCATTTGAACATTTAAAGATTTATAATAATAAATTAAAAAAAAACAAATAAAAAAGATTATATTTTACTTTTTTTTAATTTTTTTTTTCCCCATTTGTCTAATTGCTCTTCACTATCATTTATTCTTGTTTATTATTTTTTTTTTCTACTCATCTTCATCTTTTTACTACAAGAAAAAACAAAATTAATTAATCATTAATTCAATTCATTCCTTTTTTTGTTTCAAAGAGTTTTTTTATTGTTTTCTGATTGTATAAAAATAATCTAATGATCCTTGGTTATATTGATTTAATCATTAATTTCATGTCAACATTTTTTCAAATTTTATCAAAATAACGTATTAATTATAATGATGGCAAGAGAAAATCATAAATAATATTGCTAATGATAATATTATTAATAATACACATAACTATATATAATATTATGATTTCATTAGAGCTGTTAATTGACTAATGTGCTCTTTTGACAAATTTTTTTATCCTATTTTTTACTTTTAGTTTTAAAATTTCTCTCCTTTTTAATCCATTTGCTTTGTTGATTTGTTTATTATCTTTTAATTTTCCTATTTTTTTTGTTTTCCTTGACAAAAATAATAATAGTTAAAACCCTTTTTAAAAAATTTTTTTATGTTTTGTTTAATTTATACTTTTTTCAATTGTTTAATCTTTGTTGTTTACCCTTAACTTATTATTTTTACATTCCTATATTTAGTTGTTTTTTTGTTTTTTTAATTAATACTTGTTTTGTTTTCATTTACTATTGTTTTCCAATTTATTGTTTAATACATATTTCCAAAGATATTTTCCAGTTTTGTCTTAAATCCCATTGAAATAGTCTTAAACAAAGCAGCAAGATATCTTTTTCAACCAAAAAACTTATACTTTTATCCAAATTTATCCTTCTTCATGTTCTTTTAGTAAGGGTCTTTAAAAGTAGAGAAAACTTGCGCTTTTGTTTAGAGAATACGATGGAATATAATAGAATATGATAGAATACAATGAGAAGGGTAAAAATGCTGAGAAGGCTGAAAATTAAGAATACAAAACACAAAACAATCAGATTCAATATCAGAGAAAAGATCTAACGGAAGGGTTTTAACTTTTTTTGACCTCTGATATCAAAAGTTATTTAAGAAAGGCGATTTTGAAAAGCAACGTTTTTTAAAGTGGGAATGGCCATTCCTGGTGCAATGTTGTTTAAGGAAAATGATGGAAAGTTGTGAACTTTGTTCTTAATTTGAGCCATTTTACTTAAAGGGAGTTACTGTGTGTCACAGTCAGTTATTGAAACTGTTTCTCAACTGTTTGGAAACAAAAAAGGAAATAACAGCAAAGAGATAAAATGAATTAATTCGATTTCTTTCGGCATCTGAGCGTTGATTCGAAGATAAAAAGAGCCAAAACAAGCTATTGTTCGGTAGAAATAAGCTATTTATGCACGACTGCTCCTGCATTAACTAGCTGCTCGGATTCTATTGTTTCTGAATGTGATTCAAGAGAAAACAAAGCTAACTGCTTGATGATCTATTTGAAGTCTACTAGATACACAATGCCAAATATATAGAGGTATTGACAGCAAATCAAAACAAGGGATCCAATTAATAAGACTAACATCCATCTATCCACTTTACTACACTTCCTTTTTCCATAACAAGCAAAACAAGAAGTAAAACTAGAAGTAAAAAACAATGTATTTCAAACAAGAGATAAACCAAAAAAATGTAAAGAGCAAACACAAAAGTAAGAATAAGAAGAAACAAACAAGCAAGCAAGCAAGCAGACAAAACATAAAGAGTCATGGATTAAAAAATTGGAAGTAAAAAATAAAGGAATCTTTTAGACCACGAAAGGATTTCTTTAACGACCAAAATATTTGATCTCAAATGGTCTAGCAATGTTGAAGCCAACAAATGAAAACGCTATTGCTAATTCGAAACCAATATCACCACCATAATCACCGATGAGTCTTGCAACTTCACCAGAGTACCAAGTTTGATTCATTCCAAGAGCCACGCCGAATACGCCAAAAATAAAACCGCATATGCCAGCAATTCCAATTGGTAGTTTTGAGCTATCCAAGTAATCATCCGGATTGTAACCTTTGAAACCTCTTCTGTAGATGAAATGTTCAGACAAGGTAATTGAAATGTAGATACTTTGGAAATAAGCGACACAGTTCATAAAGTTATGGATGTAACTTTCGAATTCATAAAAAGCAGGGATACAAATGCCCAAGGTGAGGAAGTTTGCTAATAGAGTCCAAAAAATTCTTGGGATTATACGGAACTTAGACCAAATAGCTTGAACACATAAAGCAACGGAATACATGTTGGGGATGTTATTACAGACAGTTGACAAGGCTAATAGAACGCAGCAGAATTGGCCAAAACCATGTAATGAATCTGTGACTAGGACTGAGTAGATAAGACCACCGATAGAATAGTCTTCATACATCTGAGCCCATTGATCGTTTGATAGTGTTCCAGTTGCACAAGCAGCACCTAGGGTCATTGCAAAGACAGATGGAAGCCATAAGCCGGTTAGAGTTGAGAAAAAAATCTTGTATGGGTTTGTGTTTAAGGACATGTAGGTGGTGTAGTCAGCAGAGTAGGTTGTCCAGCCAGCAGCAAAGCCAAAGACAGTTCCACCAAAAGAGAGAACATTTCCTGCAGCGGTTGGACCACTTTCCCAGATTCCAGGAGTGAAATTTTTGGACATTGTCATTCTAGCGATTATGATGAGAAAGATTATGAAATTGGGGATCCATGAATACATCTCATAGTAATGGATAGCGGTGTAGCCAAAAAACGTAACAAAGAAAGTGATGACGACAATGATTAAACAACCAGCCCAGGGTGGTAAAGCTCCACCATTGACAATGTGTAGCAATTGAGCTGAGGACATAATATTGGTAGCTCCCCAACCCACACAGGCTATACATTGCAAGCACGCGAAGATTCTCATTCCATAGTTTCCAGCGAGGAAAGCAGTTAGCATCATCTGTCGCAAGCCAAATCTTGAGCCAAAAACCGAAAAGAAGGCAAATGGAATACAGCCTAGCAAGTTGAAAAACACGATGGTTAGAGTACATTGGTAGAAGCCTAGTTGGAAAACAGTTACACCCAAGGCACCTAAAGAGAAGGTACCAACAACTAAATTTGCTGCCAACCACATGGAGCCAGCAGCCCAGGAAGAAGTGTCAGTTCTTTCATCTTCTTCTACTCTTTGAACACCTCTGGTTTCAGCCTTTAGCAACCTTCCAATTCGATCGAAAACGCTAAATCTAGAATTCTTTTCAGGTTCAGCTTCATATCTTTCAGATTCGGACGAGAAATAAGAAGTTCTTCTACGCAAGCTCTCCATAGGAATTTGTTGCCCTTCAGGGTTCAAAGCAGAACGACTTGAATGTAATGAGTAGGAAATTTTGAATGTTTTGTTTTCATAATTTTCCCCCATCTTATAATTCTTGTGAATTAAGTGCAAGGATATCAGTAAAAGAACAAAAACCAAAAGGAAAAGAAAAAAAAAAAAGAGAAAGGGGAAAAAAAAGGGTATATTTGTGAACAGAAAAAATACCAGAGAGAAATAAGTGATAATTTATGTAACAGTTCTCATTCTGTTTTATGGAGTGAATAACCAAAGAAAAAAAAATTAGTGAAAAGTTCAGTACGATAGCCAAAGAGTTAGGTAATTAAATAGTTGAATATAACTTTGTAATTATACAATGATAACAAACTAATCACAAGAATCTGCTAAAGAATACTCACATTAAGGCTAGTCCAGTAGTTAGGGGGGACAAAGTTCTGCCTCAAAGAGTTAAATGCCAATTGTCTCTTATTGTTTGTCTGGTCTTCTGCCCACTGTTGGCTTGTATTTTGAAAGCTCTTTCTGGAGAATATGGACAATCATTTCAACAACTTTCAAACTTCAGCCAATTTGCAATCTTTGAACTGTTTGCGAGAGTTTCTCGTGCAAAGAGCAAAATGATATGAGAATAAAACCCAGACTGGAATTAAATGAAATATTTGGAAAAGCAAAAACCATACTAGACCCATAGAGTTGGCTGATCGCAATACTGCAGAATAATGCGCTATCTATACATATGACCAATGGGAGCACTGTGCTGAGAAAGCCTGCGGAATTTCGCGTCTCTGGGCATGTCTCTTTAGGCAAGAGCTGTTGCAGCCGCTTGGCAGAGATCCAACCAATGCTTACACCGCAGATCATGACCCGGATTGGAGGGGCTCGACTTTTCACGCTGCTGGGCATTGGCCACCTCTTATCGCGTGTATGGCGCTGGTTGTTGTGTGGTGTTTCGTTGTGTCTCACGTATTTCAAGGGACTCATATCTCGCATATCCTGCATATCTTGGACTGGCCTAGTCCTAGTTCAAGAGGTATTCAGCTTTGGGAATTGACAGATTTAAGCGCTGGACCACATAAGAGTGCCTCAAGCTGCTTCAAACCGCCTTCAGCCAGGGCTGTCCAATTGCCTCCTGTTTTTCACAAAAATGTTTTGTTTTGCTCCCCAATTGCTAAAAACTATTACATGATGAAGATATTTCAAAGGACCAATTGTTAACTTTCCAGTAACGGTGGTTGTGCAATAATAAGGGTTTTGATTGATAGAGCTGGGACGTTCAGTCTAATCGGCAGCCCTATCTTTTCATTGGCTGGGAATTATCTGCAAATCATTGTTGTGAACTAAAATTTCTGAGACAGAACATTAAACAAACAGAAAATTATGAAAAGGACACTGAGAAAAAACATACAATAAAATGAGACAAATAAATACCTTTTAGATTGGATTTTAAAGCTAAATTTAACAATTGCTCTTAAGTTTTAGACTCAAGCAATGTCCTTGATTGTATTCAGTTCAATTCAATTCAATTCTATCTTATCCAGCTTACGACTGATCATATCCGGCAAGGATCTCTCTTTCTCTTTCTTTTGAATAAAATGATCTTTGTTTTTCATCTCTTGTTTCCGACGCTTTGATAGCTCCTTAGATCTTTTGATGTTGAATCCGTTTGTTAATATATCTTGACACTCGCCTAGCTGTAAACCCGACAATTCCGGATACAAAAAGTACACGAATACAAGTGAAAAAAGTGAAACACCTGCAAAGAATGCAAATGTGCCTGTTGGTGTTATTCTGTCTAGCATTGTTAAGAAAGTTGAGGAAATGGTCAATGATCCAGCCCAATTCACTGTTGTTGAGAACGCTGTTCCCACTCCTCGAACTGATTGAGAAAATAGCTCTGATTGCTGCCAGGGAACATTTCCAATACCTATAGCATACGATGCTGCAAACCAAATCATACTGATAATGATAACAATGGCCCACCCTGTAATCTCTGTATCTTCATTCAACAATGCATCATGATCCTCAAATGTAATGTTCATAAAATGAAACGCAATCGCACATAGTGTTAACGATAGCATCATCATGGGCAATCCGATTAGTAGAATCTTTCGTCTTCCTACTCTGTCAATAACAAAAAATGCTATTAATGTGAAAAGAAAATTTGTACCAGAAATTATGATCGAAACCGCCGTTGAATTCTTGAATCCAACAGTCTCGAATATTGTTCCACTGAAATACATCAATGAATTCCACCCTGTAAACTGCTGGATACCTTGTAATCCACATGCCAATATCAATGCCCGAAAATTCGAAGGAACTAAATGAATCTCTCGAATTGCATTCCAACTCTTGATCCAAATATTACCCCCAGGAATGGTATCATTTAGTCTGTCAAACTCTTTAATCTTCGCCTCGATTGACTGACTTGTAGCACCCTTGTGTGTCTTTGATATCACGTCTCTAGCCTTCTTATAATTGCCTTTCATAACATAGTACCTTGGGGTATCTGAAAGAAAGATAACAAGACAAAACTGAATCGCTGTTGGAACTAGTGATACTCCAACCAATATCCGCCATCCATTATAAACATCTGTTAGCCCTGCTCCGATTCCATACGCCACAAGCTGTCCTCCAGTTATTGCCAAAACATTTATAATCACCAATCGTCCTCGAAATCGAGATGGTGCCAACTCCGAAATATATAATGGTGCTATCAATGACCCAAACCCTACTCCGATACCCATAACAAATCTGCCTCCGATCATGGTCCAAACCGTATGAGCTGCACATTGAATAACAGCACCAGCAATAAACATCACATTTGAAAACAAGATAACAGGTTTTCTGCCAAATAAATCAGCAATAGCGCCAGCAAAAAGTGCACCTATTAATGCGCCCAACGAGGTGGCTGCTGTTATTAATTCCTTTTGGCTATATGTCAAGGCTTTATTGTCCAAATCAGTGCCAATAGCAACCAACGCAGATGAAATATATCCTGTGTCATAGCCAAACATAAACCCGGATATCGAGGCAACAAATGTCAATGTAATAACTAATGGTGAAGGTTTAGTGAATTCAAATGACATTAAAATAGATGTGTTATCATCCATCTCTATGCCCATTTCTTGTTCTTGGATTTCTTGGTTACTGTCATTATTGTCGTTTTTTGGCAGGTCTTGAGTGCTACCGATTTCTTTCATTTTTTTCATTTGGATTTATTGTTCGATAAACGAAATAGTAAAAAGGCAATATCAATATCAAACTTATTTCAAAAAACAATACACAATCAACAACAAGTCTCCAAGGGATATTGAAGGGATATCGCATAAATGTGAGCAAAAAGTTACTTTACGAAAAATCATATGTAACCACCCCTCTGAGTAACTGCGTTTTTAAGCAGTGGGCAAAAAAATAATCCGAAGTGGTAATTTTCACAAACGGTTGTGGTTCATCGTCTGATTTAAAACCTCATTTAGAACTGAAGTAAATCTATTAGAAAATAAGTATGGCCCACTGATTCGATACTGTGAAGTGCTTTTCCAAAATTTTACAATTTCCTTTATCTCCAGTATTCCAACTCATTTCCTCGCAGAATCATCTCAGATAGCTCAACAAAAAAGCTGCTACAAGTTCGGATTAACCACTGAAACCACAAGCTTTTAGACCTAGATTTATCCATCCCGAATCACCTCGGATGTCAGCTGACAGGATTCTTTTTTGTATACTTAAATTACGGGTAATGCATAAATATCAAACTTCAGAGAACTTACAAGTTTTGTAATTAATCTTTTGCCAATACTCGAGGATAGTTGGATCTTCGACACTGTTGCGCTCGTGATTACTCCAACTTGTCCATGCTTTAGTCGCTCTGACTGGCCCTGTATTATCCTATCGCTCGCACTAGTTTCATTTCAGCACAGTAAGGATACAAAAATGGAACCTACCCTTCCACTCTAAATCCAGCTTGAAAGAGCTCTTCAATGAGGCACACGTCTCACTGGCTGCGTTGTGAATAAACTATTCGTGATTACCCAAAACAGAAGTAGCCTCCTTCCACACTCACAGAGCCATTTCAGGGACAATTGTGACCAGAGCCACAGTGTTGGCTACTGCTATATAATGCACTAAACCGCAGTACGCACAGCACTTCCGGTGCCGGTGAGATAGCGCGCACTCAGGCGTTGGCATGTTCAAGAATCGTGCTCCAGCTCCGTGGTCTGTTCCCAATCATTCTAAGAGGGTTTTTTTCTTTATGTCTAATGATTTATTCCTTTGAAGAGGACGAATGGCTTAACGAGGATAACATTTAAGCTTACTACGTTATAACTGTTGAATAACCTGAATATTGTATTATTCGTTCATGCTCCACAACAAATCACATCCAGCTCCACCTTCAATTTACTGTCTCTGATACTGCTGCAATCATTTTCGCCCACACAGGCACATTTGTATTTATATTTATATTGTTAAAATCCAAATCCTTAAGCATATCAGCAAAGGGAAAAACAAAACAAAGCAAAACAAAAAAAACTAATTCACTGGAAACACCACTGATTATATTCTTTTCCACTAAAATAGCGAAATCAAAGGCACTACTCAAGTTCTTTCGGTTCCAACATACTCATATATCCTCACTGCAGTACCATCCAATACCAGTCAAAATATATGCTAAAGAGTAAAATACTTGCCTGTTTCTACCTGGTTATTGTTCCTAAATAACAATAAGCTTCAGTTCAATCCAATCTTATCAAATCTTATCAAATCTAATCAAATCTAATCAAATCAAATCCAATAGATAACTTTTGGGTCTGCTTCTTTGAATTTCATGTTTGATTGTATCGTTATTTCCATCTAATTTAGTTAATATCTTGTAAAATGAGTTTATTAAATATCAATTCAACCTCAGATTCCTCAAATGACTCTTCGATATCCCCAATTTTGCCTATGTCAACTACTCCTATAATAAAAACATCATCGAAAAAGAGAAAACAGATCCCTAACGAAAAGAGAAAAAGAGCTCTATTCAGCTGTGATCGTTGCAAGAAAAAAAAGATAAAATGTATAAGATATTCAAACAACAACTCCAATAACAACAGCTCAACCGATATCCTCAATTCTGAAAACATCTCTTTTGATAACAAAACTCCATGCTTGAACTGTCAAAATATCGGCGAAGTTTGTATAACTCAAATCCCTAGAAAAAAAAGGGTCTATGGTAATATAGAAAACTTGGGCTTTCACTACGAGATTTTGCTTTGTTTAATCAACGGATTATATCCCAATATTGATATCAACAATATCAACCTATTGCTAAAATTAGGCAACTCCCTAAAAATTAAAATGCCATCTCCCTACCACTATTTCAAAGAACTAAACAACAACAAAAAAAAGAAATCAAACAACGATCAAACAATCTCAATTTTAAGCAATAAATTATTTGAAGTCATCAAACACAATGGAATAAAAGCAAATAACTTCGATAAAGCTAAAATAATAGATAACGAAATATCCCCTCAGTTTTTAACTCCAACTCAATTCGATAACGAAATTGAAATCCCAAACATCATCAAACCCTTTTTTGAAAACGATTTTAGCGAATTCGGCAACCAACTCAACAATAACAACATAAACAAAATCGATAATAATAAATTTCATGACAAAACCATACTTCAGAATCAAATAGACAATGACATCGATATCGATAGCAATAACGAAAACAACGATCATGAACTTGAACATAGAAATGATCCTGAACACGAAAATTACTACGAGAAAGAGCAAGAGCAAGATCAGGATGATAGAATTGATATAATACTGAATATTTCCTTGAATGATCTGAAAAGATTAATTCAAAATCAAACACTGAACAATCAAGATAAATTGCTCAATAAACAACAAACAGATAACAAATCTGAAAACAATTCCGAAAACAGATTAATCAAACTTGAAAACAAATCCTTCAAATCATTTGATACATCAAAACTAAGTGAAGACTATGGAATTGAAAGACTAGTTTATGACGACCAGGGAAGACCTCATTACATTGGATCTGCTGGGACTCCTGCTCTATTAAATGGCTTATGTAACTTGATTTTAAAACAAAGCTCAAAATCAAGACTATCAATGAATAAAAACAAATTCAGAACTATTCATAGTGCCCATGATTTCTCAAGCTTGCTCAGTAAAAACGTTAACCAAAAAGAAATTAAAGCCATCACTAATAGCATTAACAGCAGTAAAGTTAATGATCCTCTCAACGACCTGAATCAAGAAAATCGTCTCTGTATAATAAATGAACCTATATCTGCACCACTTTTAAATCCTGTTCATAAGAACAATAAAGTTAATAACAATGCTTCAAATGATATATCCAAAACTTTTAAGAAATCAGGGGGGACTTTGGAAGAGTTTGTCACAACAAATTTTAAAGAATACCCATCAGAAGCATTAAATAATCTTCAATCAAATGTGATGCTATCTCCATTCCAAACTACAAGCAATATTAGAATCAATCCAGACAGATTTCCATTATTCAATGCAATTAAAAGAGAGGAAGCAGACTTTTATGTTAAAAACTTTTTTGATAAAGTTCACCCATACTATTTTGCATTTTGCAAACCTATTTTCCATGAGAGATACGAACAATTTTGGCTCGAAATTGATGAGTGCAATAAAGAAGATTACTATATTCATTGTATCAAGAACAACATATCATTGCCCAAGGACTTTCAGCAGAATAAAAATAAGTTTAGGCCTAGATTATCTGGTGGTTGGATTTGTTGTATATATTTGGTTTGGTTATTGGGTTTAAGATTTTCTAAATATCCCAATGGTAAATTAAGTGATGAGTTGATCTACAAGTACATCACCATCATTAAACTATCATTACCAGATATTGTGCTAACACCAACGTTGATCGGTGTGAGGTTGCTTTACTTGTTTTCTGTCTATTTGTATTCAATTAAAAATAGAGACTCGTCATGGATCTTGGTTGGATTAGCCTGTCGTCAAGCATTATCATTGGGTTTGCACAGACAGTCAGGTGTAAATGGCTTTACTTCAAAGAGAGCAATCACTGTTAGGAAACAATTATGGTGGACTGTTTATAAGTACGAGATGATTTTATGTACAACATTTGGTAGACCATCGACTATTAACGAAGAGGAAATCAATATAGACTATCCATCAGATGCATCTATAATGGGTGTGGATCAGGACTTTGCTGATTTTTTTGTTGAAAGTGTGAAATTGTCAAGAATATTAAGTTCAATCCTAGATTTTAGAAAATTGTTATACAATGGTGCAACTGTGAAGTCTAAAGATATTTTGGATAACTCTCCTTTGTCATTATCTAATGTTGAGAAAACATTGGAAATAAGAAAAAAGTTGGAAGATTTTCTTAATGGTCTTGCAGCAAAAAACTTGGACATTGAAACCATTTTGAAAGACTTGGAAGATAGATTAAATGCTGCCAGCCCAAATGAACGTGAAAATGTATTGGTTGAAACCAGATTCAAGATAAAACTTCATATGCAATATAATTCATATGTGATTAACTTGACATTGCCATTTGTTTTATACATTGTACATATGACCGTTTCAAGTTCGATAACGTTAAAGGAGTTTGATGAATCTATAACTAAAATCATTCACAGTGCATTGAAATCATCTATTATGGTGTCGGAGCTTTTGGACATATTAAATGGATTAGATCAAGTTGATGGCACATTATATTTGGATATATTTTATGGATATTGTGCAGTAATGGCATTAATCCCCTTTTTCATTTATCTTTCGCCAAATAACGACCATAAGAAGAGTAAAAAAAGCAAAGATGGCATAGACAGCAATTTTGATAATGATATTGGTAACAACAAAGCTCGTGAGGACTTTTCGAGGCAGAAAATCAACAAAAGTTTTAAAATAGAGGGCAAAGTGATTGACAAAGGATTTGTTTTATCATCAATCAATAAAATACGAAAAGCAATGAAAAGAAATACCAGGAAAATTGATGGATCCATGAGAAAGGTATATGAAGTTTGTGAGAGTTTATTAAAGGAAGTGGGTCTTTTGGAAGTTTTAGAGAAGAAATTTGACAAAGGGAAACCTAAAAAAAAGTTACCAGGAGAAAAATATGATTTTTCACTAAGTTTTTACTCCATGTCTCATATGATAACACCAAAGGATAGCAATATCAAGTCTTCAGAAATTGATCAAACCAACCAAATAAACAATGTTGATTTGAGCGAAAATAAGAATCATAATACCAATGATAATGTTAATGTTAATGTTAATGTTAATGTTAATGTTAATGATAATGATAATAATAATGATAATGATAATAATAATGATAATGATGATAATAATGATAATAGTAATAATGAGAAAAACAAAATTCAAAATAAAAACAATATAAAAAATAAGATTAAAATTGTGAATAATCAAGAAAATATTTCCAAATTGGGTGATTGGGAAGAAATTCATAATGTTGATAATAAAAATACAAAAGTCGATAATTTGAATGAAATTTGTGGTATTATTGATGTTAATAATAATGTAAACAACATGGCAAATAATTTTAGTTATAATAAAAAAGATGGAAAATATAAAAATGAATTCAATGTCTTAAATGGAATAGATCAGAATAAGGGCAATAATACTACGAATCTTCCAAAGGAATTTGCTAGAAATTTTGATAACAGCTATAGCAATGATAATGATATTGGAAATAGTAATAATAATTTTAATAATAATGATGTCAATACTAATGTTAGTGTTAATATTAATACCAATGCTAATGCCAATGCCAATACTAATAATAGTATTAATCAAAATCCAATTGAAAATAATAATATAAATCCAGTAATGAGTGGACCATTGAATAGTGGCAGAAATAACCGAAATAATAACATAATTTTAAACAGTGCAAACAACCAGCAGAATAATAGTAATAGTAATAGCAATAATAATAATAATAACTATAGAAATTTAAACGATGGATTTAGTTTATCTTCGGCATCATTAAATAATGGTGTTAGTAGTAATGGTAATAACAATGGAATGATATCAAATAACAATAGTTTAGCTAGAAACGCGAATAATTATGGAAATTCCAATGGAAATTCTAATAGAAATAATTATAGAAATAATAATGAGAATAATTACGGGAACAATTATGGGCATAATTTTGGAAATACAAATGAAAATAATAATGAAAATAGCAATATTAATTTTTATTTTGATAGATTTTTGTTTAAACGAAATGAGCCACAAGCAGTTGATTTGATGTATTATAGTAGTGAGTATCAAGATCTGCCGGATAAGATGAGTATGTTTGATAATGGTAATGTTAATAACAGTAATAATAATAATAATAGTAATAGTAATAGTAATAGTAATAGTAATAGTAATAGTAATAGTAATAGTAATAGTAATAGTAATGGTAATGGTAACGGTAATGGTAATTTATTGAGTTTCAATTCCAGAGGAGTTTCAAATTATTCAAATAACAGTAACAATAGTAATGGTAATAGTAACGGCGATAGTGGTGATAATGGTATGGGGAGTTTTAACAGTAATAATAACTCTAGTCCAAATAGTAATTTGAATTCATATTCAGTTTATATGACACCTGATAATCCAAATGGGAATCAGAATTTGAATCAAAAAAATAATGTTAATAATAATAGTAATAATAATTTAAATGGAAATGGGAGTAATAGTAATGGAAACAATACAGTTGAATCATGCAGAATGTATAATTCATTATCTGAGAGTATTAATTATAATGAAATTGAGCCGGAGATTACGTTAAATCATGAGATGATTGATTCGTTTTTCCAAACAGCAAATGATACGTTGTTTAATATATCAAATAATTTTGGAAATTCCAGTTTTATACCCAACTATGTTAATAATAGCTATAGCAGTAATACTAATAACAATCAAAATAATAACATTAATCAAAATAGCAATAGCGGTAATAATAATAATAACAATAATAATAATAATAATAATAATAATAATAATAATAATAATAATAATAATAATAATAATAATAATAATAATAATAATAGGTATGGTCAACAAAATTTCAACAACCGGTTTAATAATTATGGGAATATGAATTTTGCAAATGATAATACTAATAGTAATACTACTAATAATAATAGTAGTAGCACTAGTATTAGTAATATGAATTATAATAATGACATTCCTATGAACTACAATAACCAAATGAACAACGTAAATAATGTTAATGGTAATACCAATCACAATTATAGCAATAATAGCAATTATAGTAATAGTAATAGTAATAGTAATAGTAATAATGGCAATAATGGTAATAATAATGGTAATAATAATGGTAATTATAATGACAATCAAAATATGAATATGAGAATGAGTAATGGAAATAACGATAATGAGTATATTAATCAATTATTGAGTGAATTTTCAATTAATACCAATGATATGATGAAGTATAACGAGCTTGAAGAGCTACAAAAGAAGATGTTTTAGGTGGCAAAGATAACAAACAACACAGTCGTTTAAAAAGGATGGTGATGTTTATTACATTTATTTGATAGGAAAGGCGAAATATTTTTTTGCTTAAGGAAATTTAGGGGATGTCGTTTGTAGAGCTGAAATAGTTTTTTAGTGGATGGATTTTTATATGTTTTAGAACCGAGCATTTGTTAGATCGAAACTGGAGCTCATCCCGAAGATCTCGAAGATCTCGAAGATTGTGGGGAATCGATGAGCCCGCCAGAAAAGGAAAAAGCAGGATTCCGGTCTCGAAGCCAGTTTTCGACGAAACAACGAAAACGCGAGATCTCCAGAATGCCAATCGATGCGCATCAGTGCATGTGACAGTGTTCTGTTATGCAATCACCGAATCCCGCAGTGAGATGCGTCCCGGGGACTCAGGAGATGCCGGGCGTGTTTGTGTCCCAACGGGGCTGCGGTCCAGAACTGGAAGGGAAGGCCGTGTAGCTAAAAATAAACACGGCCCCTCCGCTGAAAACAGCGCGCGCTGCGCAGAAACTGCGTTCGATGACGGTGCCAAAAAGAAAAAGTGGATGGGGTAGAAAAAGACATATAAAAGGAATATAAAAGAAGCTCTCTGTTTTGCTTCCTCTCCTTCTTCTGTTTCTTGTTCAATTTTCCTTCTTTTGTCAAATCAATCACTACTCATCAATCCATCCAAAACAATACTCATCAACACAGATCAACTCTTAAAATTACAATTACTACGCCATGAAGCTCAGCGTCTTCTCTCTCCTACCCTTTTTTCTACTCGCCTTTCTATCTGTTTCCATGCCCATAGATCTCGAGAAGAGAGTAATCATAGTAAACACAATCACTGCCACCACCACCACCTACTTGTATCAATCTCCACCTACACCTTTATCTTCAGAAGATGTGGTGGGAACTCCATCCATCTTGAACCAGCAATCAACCCTCACCTCAACCATAACCTATGAATCAACAACAAGAACAGTCACAAGGGTGATCAACCCTACTATTTTAATCGACCAAACAACTTGGGTAACTGAAACAAACACTGACTTGCCCTCATCCTTGCCACACAACAGTGGTGCTGACTTGGTGCAGCTCGACAAAAGAGTGATTTTAAATGAATTCATAACTTCAACCACCACAGTATATCTAGATCAGCTCTCCACAATCACATCTACTCCTACTCCTACCTTAAATCCTCCTATAATTTTAAATAACCAAACAACTGTGACATCAACTATCATCAATGATTCCACCACAAGAGTTGTAACTAGGACAATCAATCCAACTATTTTAAACAGACAAGTTATCTGGGTCACTGAAACTGTCTCCAGTGCCGGCTCTCCATCCTCAGCTCCTTCAGATACTATAGACTTGAGAAAAAGAGTAATCCTAAACGAAATGGTAACTGCAACTACAACTGTCTACGTAGTCGACGGTGAAACCATCTCTGTCCCACAACAATCCACATCTTTATTACCTGGTCCCTCAATCTTGAATCAACAAACAACTGTTACCTCCACCATTACTTATGAATCGACCACCAGAACCATAACAAAAACAATAAATCCAACTATCTTAATCAAACAAACTCAATGGGTAACTGAAACACTAACAGACTATCCTTCCTCACTAATCGATAACGATGAAACAGAATTCGACTCTGAATCTGAAAGTGACTACTACGAATCTGCCTACATCACTGAAACTCCAATCCCAACCAACTCAGTTTCCACTGATGATGAAGATGAAGAATTCGAACCAATTTTCATCTCCCTAAGAACTGTCACCGTTTACTATGATCCAAGATTCAATTCATACACGAACTTTGATTACCCAACTTCAACTCCCTCTCCTTACAATTTAAATCCTCCTGCAGTTATGAATGTATATACTCTAATTACCTCAAATTACATAGAAGATCAGCCTACTCCAACATTTGCTAGCGTTATCCTTTCAACTTCAGATCTTTCAACTACAGTCATCTCTCCAAATTAAATCAATCTGGTCCAAAATAAAATAAAATAAAACAAAATTCATCAAAACTCTTAAAATTCACATATTTATCTAATTTTAGACTCAATTATATATTTATCTTTTATATTTCTATTTACTTCTTATTATTTAAAGCTTATTGGGTTTTTAATTGTCGTTTCATTTTCTATTCGTATTTATTCTACTTTTTATTTTATTTTATTTTATTTTATTTTATTTTATTTTATTTTATTTTATTTTATTTTATTTTATTATTTTATTATCTTTTTTTTGGTTCTTGTTTTCTATTTAAAACTTGTTAATTCACTCTTGATGGTTCCTACTTTGTTTCTGTTCCTTTATTTGTCAAAAAAACATCTATTAGTATTATCTTTAGCATTGCAATTAATCAATATAACCGGGTACAACATTTATCTATCATTGGCTTTAAACCAAAGGGGGGGATGGTGAAATTTAAAACATTAAGAAATTAAAATCACCTTTTAGGCTACTGTTTTTATTTTTTTTCTTTATTTTGTTACTTTTTTGTTATTTTTTTTTTTTGGTCTGGTTTTTCTTTTCTTGTTTTTTTTCTCTCTTCATTTCATTTCGATTTATTTATTTAACTCGTTTCAACAAAAAAAAATCATTTAACTAATTAACTAAATAAACACAATAATTATATTTAGAATATTTCCTCTATCCTTCAGATCTTCAGCATCTCGTTTCAAAAAGATGGAACAAAAACAGTCTTGGATTAAAATGCATTTTTAACTCCTTCCTTTGAAAAATTCTAAAACAAAAAATCTACAAAAATTTGGAAAAAAATACAAAAAGTACAATCTACAAAAATTAGACTGAGTCAATTTGAAGTAAAAATAGATTTGATATAACTTATTCCGATAAACAAAAAGATGAATGAAGAAATAAATGAAAAAAAGAATAAAGGAATAAATTAAAAATCTGTTTCTAATTGAAAAAAAGCTCAAGTTACATTTACATTTGCTATTAGATTTCACACTGTCTTTTCAATTTCAACAGGACTGTTGTTTTTAATAGTAAATGACATGGAATCATTTTCTTGGTTTGTCGATTCATTCTCAAATTGTCTAATAAATGAATCAAAATCCTTTTTCACAATCTTAAAATCTCTCAAACGAATCCGTTTGCCAACTACTATCTTGCTATGTCTACCATCCATTACATACCCTGGATAACAAAATGCCAATATCAAAATAGATAACGCCATTAGTAATGATTCTAACAAAAAAAAATGAATTTCACTGTTATTCCCATGGCCTGCTATCTTTAATGCAAGCATAATTAACTTGTAAACAGACCTGGTATAAATCAATAAAACAGAAATAGTTAAAACCAATGGAAAATAAATCAATATCTTGTTTTTCCGGATTTCCTTATAATTGAGATTGAATAAATGATCTTTTGATGAAGTATCAATAAAATTGTAAAACTTTTGAAATAAAGTAAAAATTTTTCCATTTCCATTTCCATTTTGAACATCACTATTATTATTACCAATGCTGTTATTATTGGTAGAAGAATTATACTTTAATAATAAGGTGTTTGTTTTGATGTAAATGGAATAGAGAAAATGAGTCCAAAAAAACAAGAAAATAGACATGGAAAATACCTGAAATGCTATACCACCAAGTATTATATTGGAACTATTATCTGAAATTCTTCGAGACTTATCATTTAGTGCTTTGCCAGCCGCAGCTCCACCAGCAGACTGCAAAAACAAACCCACAACATCACACACAATAAATATGTAGGAATAAGCTATGGGCGTTAGGATCGAATAGTATTCACCGTAAATTATAACCAATTTCCCAAGCAAATAATAATTGCCTGCCATTAAAAACACCGGAGCAAGATTGATTGCAATGATTTGCAACAAGAAATATTTGGTGCTTGTTGGATCGCCATTTGCTAAGGTTCTGCCTATGTATGTAGCAAATTCCAACCCAGCTCCAAAAATAAACGATAATCCAAAGTATCGCTGTTTGTAAGTAACAGCTAGAATTGAATGAACAATAAACAAAACGCCCATAACGATGGCAAAAGTCAAGTTTCCTGCGAAATTTGGAGTGGAGCCATAGAAATTTCTCGCAGCAGCAGTTGCAAAAGCAGGTGTCCCAGTTATTGAGGAAGAGGCCAAAGCTTCTGTAGGTGCCAACATTCTGGCGAGCAATAGAGGAAAGCAGGAAGATGAGAACTATCAGCAATCGAAGCCAGAGGTTATATATCAAGATTCTGTTTTGACTCCACATTGCCCTCACCGGAATTTATCATCGTGCATGGGCTTGCGTCATGGGCTCAAATCCACCATGCTGGTGTCGTCAGCCTGCTCTATGCCGAAAGCGGCTAGAAAGCTCACAGTGTTGTCACAGTGGTTTTGTTTTGGTTTAATTTCAACTGAAAAAGAAAGCACAGAATCTGACCATCTAGCAAAGCAAAACACAACTCAGACCTATCAATGGTTTTTGGTGGGAAATGGTGAATAAGGTGTCTGCACACAGCTGCGATATTCATGGAACACGCATAACCACTGCACTCAAAGGCCTCGAAACACGCAGGGTCCTTTGACATATTCGGCTTGTTTCGTATCAGATTCGAAATGCGATACAGTTACCGTATTTCGTATGTTCGATAAATGTTCGTGATTTTGTCTGCTGCCCGTCTTCCGTTTTTTTTCGGATGTTCAGGCTAAATTTTTAAAGCGCAGATTTTTTTTTCTTTGTTTTTAATTTCTTTGACAGTGAATTAGACAATGGGCAAAAAAGATACCAACAGTTCATACAATATAGATTATAAAAATTTCATAATTGAGAACAAATTGAAACAGATCAATTTGATTGACAATGGACCAGATATTGAAAACCTACCAACCAGTATGTCAAGGCTGATTATAAGTGGTATTGGAATGGTATTAAAAGTGGCAATAGTATCCAGTGTTTAAATTTTCAGGAATACTAACAATCTGTTTTAAATACATATAACAGTTGAAGCATGGATTTGTGTAATACCTGCTAGTATATCTTCTGAGTTTTTGAGGTATGTGAATTATAATAATAAAAATTTTCTACTAATTGTTAATTATCAAATATTCAATAAATTTCAACTAACCATCTAATCTTAAATTTCAACTTCAGAGAAATCAAAATACTCATTCCAACAGACCCTGATGATTTAAATCATCTTAAAAGGTTTCAAATAAGTAATGATCAAAGTTTAGATATTGAAGATACTTTTTATGAATTGAATAATGGAAATAGTGAAGAAAATCAAGACAATCAAGACAATCAAGAAAATCAAGAAAATCAAGAAAATCAAGAGAATAAAAAGAATAATGAGAAGGATATTAATAATACTAAGCCGAATGACAAAAAAAGTAAAAAAGTGAAAATCAAGAATAAGAAAAACAAAAAAGTATTCCTCTCTGTTCTTCTTTGTAGTAAACAGCTATTTACAAAAGGAAGAGATGTTATAGATTTATTTTCCAATTCCAAATACCCAATCAATGAGAAAACTTTAAAATTAATCAAATTACCCAAATTTTTGCCGGCTAATTTAGACATTGACGATATCAAAAGAATTAATGAAAAATACAATTGGATGATAAGTTGGAAAGGTAATCCAATTAAACAAGTTATTAATACGGAGAATTTTGATTTTTATACAATTGAAATGATATTTGAACAAATCCTAGCTTATTGTCAAAGACAACTTAATGACAAAAATGAATTGCCCATTGTTACAATAATTTATGATCCAGTCAATAATGAACTTTTAGCGGAATCATTTGATACAAGGTTCCAAAATCCTTTAAAGCATAGTATTATAAACTGTATTGAGAAAGTTGGCCAGATTAAAAGACTTAGGAAAAAGACTGAAATTGCATTACAAAAATACCAGCAAGAAATTGAGCTGGACCAAATCAAATTGGATCAAATTAAGTCAAATCAAATTGGGCCAGATCAAGTCGACGAGCCAACAAAAGATGAAGCTAGTATCACAAACCTCAAAAACAAGAGTAATGATGATTATCTATGTTTGAATTATCATGTTTTCACAAGCCATGAGCCTTGCTCGTACTGTTCTATGGCATTAATTCATTCAAGGATTGGCAGATTATATTATGTCAAAGATATGAACAAAACTGGTGGAATTAATAACAAACACTATCACATTCATCAACACCAGCAGTTGAATTGGAGGTTTCCTGTATATAAGTGGATCCATCCAGATAAATTTGTCGCCGAGATATCTGATATTGATGAAAATGTATTTGCTTGATTGTGATAAAAGTTGTTTCTATAGCAGTGATGGATATTATAATAAAAAATTTCATAGTTGAGTGTCAAAACCACGGCAATGGGTACATGCACAGTAGGCGTCACTACACATTAGCTGCATTATCTATGAGACCACAACTGTGGACGTGTCTCAAAATGGTAGTGGTTGCATTTCTGAATGGTATTTAATGAGAAGAGAAGAGAAGGGGTCAGACTTCTTGTTTATCTTCAGGTAATATCTACAATATTTTTTAGCCAAAAGACTCCTAACAAACTTTCAAGAATGGTTTCCTTCAAACAGTTAGCATCTTTTTCATTATTAGTTTGTACCCCTGTTTTCTCCTCTCCTATTGTTATTGGCGGTTCAAGCGAAGGCAATTTTCAGGACGAATTCTCTCTTCAATTTCCTGGGCCTCCAGGTACCAAACCCATTCCAGGAGACAACCCCTGTGCCATCTGCGATACCTACGAGCCCCAGCTCTTGACCATCAACTCGTTGACCATCACACCCAACCCTCCAGAGGCAGGCAGCAACTTAACCATCGAGGCCACTGGCTTTCTCAAGGAGGACATCACCGACGGTGCCTATGTTGCTGTTGAGGTCAGATACGGTTATGTGAAGTTGGTCAACCAGGAATTTGACTTGTGTGAGCAGATTGAAAACGTTGATATGAGCTGTCCCATCACCAAGGGCCCTCGGACCATCAAGAAGGTGGTGGAGTTGCCAAAGGAAATTCCCCCAGGCAAGTACACAGTGAAGGCTCAAGCGTTCACAGACGAAGACGAGTATATTACCTGTCTCACAGCCAGCGTCACCTTTGCAATTCCTCCTCCAAAGTTGTCATCGATTACAGAGTCAGTCAAAGGTTGGGTGAGCAACGTTAAAAGGGCCTTTGTTGCATATCTATAGGATATCTATAGGATATCTATAGGATATCTATAGGTGTGGTGAAACTCAAACGCTAGTGCATGTTTAGTTTAGTTATAACCATCAGCTGGTAATCAAAATGATAATGATAATGATAATGATAATAATGATTTAATTTTAATATTTCTATGGTTTTTATATCTATCTATCTATTTTATTTATTTATTTATTTATTTATTTATTTATTAACTATAAGCCAGTGGTGTTATCATTTAACCGATTTCACAAATATTCATTAATAGTCAATCATTCATTGTAATTGCTAGACTTGATTTTATCAGCTATTCTTTTTTATCTTTCTTGTTTCTCTTTTAGAGTTGATGAACTAATTTTTTATTTTACAGTATCAATTGATTGATTATGAAGCGTAAATTTAAACTACAACAGATATTCCACAGTCCAATGAGAATATTTCCCGTATTTACGTCAAAAAAAATGAATCAAAGAATAAGAATTATTTATTGAAATTGGTAGAAAACCATTTGAAA